TCCCACTGTTATCATATGATTGAACAGATATTTCTTGATATGCCAAGTACATCTATTTTTTTAGATGACATTTTAATTAAAGGAAGAAATAGGGAAGAACACACTATAAGAGTGTGTTCTTCCCACACACTGAGACTATAAAAAAAGTAAAATTTTCATGATTTTAAGAATGTGTCTTACAGTGAAAAAATAAGTATTTTGTTGCCAAATGATGAGATTAATGATATCAGAGACATTATGTAGCCCAATTTTAAAGATGGTGCAGATAACAAGGCATTTGTTCAATTTTTGGCTCTAAAATGGCATAACAGTTAAGTCAACGGTCGGCAACAGGCGGAACGCGGTCCGAATGCGGACCGCGAAAAGTTGAACTACGGAATATCGATTGCTGAGTAAATCAAGTTCAAAATAAAACTGTTGTTAATTTTCAAGTAGGATTAATTACTATTAAACTGGGAATAAGCCACAATTAAAGATAAAAATACGTTTATTGACGTTTCAATTTCCACTTCGGAAATCGTTCTCAAAATACAAACAGTAAATTAAACAAATTTTGTTTTTTGTTACATAGTGAAAAATTCTTCTAATAATTTAATTTTATCTGACTCATTTATATTGACAATTCAGACATACATTATGCATTTTAAAGTAGACGACTTTAAAATGATATTGCCAATATTGTTGAGTTGCGCTCCTGGACGACTTTACTTATAAGATAGTTCATTCGATTACATGAAATCAACTTTAACTTGAGAATATCCGTCAGAAAAAATCATAGCATGTAATTCGTCTTTAAAAAGACAAACACATGACATGATGACAGTAAAATTCTCCTGTTAGTGATTCCACAGTAAATTATGAGGGAAAACCAGGAAAAAAACTTCATAATACTATCCCGAAATTGTAAGTATTTGTTCGTGAATTTAGTTTACCTTCAACAAACATCAAAATTCTGATTTTATATGTTACGTTATTTAAAAAACATAAATGATGTATCCTCTATATGTTACTGACTTACTAATACTGGTATTTTCTTATTAATAACTTCCTCTTTCAATATTGGTAACCAGATCCTACTACATTCTGCCGAGGAAGAATGTAGTAGGAATGTAGTAAGACTATCAGAAAAACTTAAAAGGATAGGAAATAAATTCAACATTTCAACAACATTCAAAACAACAAACACGTTGAGATCTATTTTGTCCAAAACCAAACCTAACAATGAACAAGAAAGGACAAAGAATTGCATTTATAAAATACCTTGTGAATGCGATCAGTTTTATTTAGGTGAATCATCAAGGCCATTAAATGTTAGAATAAGTGAACATCAGTCTTATATTAAAAATAAAGAATTTGATAGATCTCAAATCTGTAAACACGCATGGGATAATGAACATAGGGTTCAATGGAATAATTCAAATGTAGTCCTAAAAGAAACAGATGGTAAAAAAAGAAAAATCAAAGAAGCGGCTCTAATTATGCTAAATGAGGCCAATTGTGTCGCAAATTCCTCGGCAGAATGTAGTAGGATCTGGTTACCAATATTGAAAGAGGAAGTTATTAATAAGAAAATACCAGTATTAGTAAGTCAGTAACATATAGAGGATACATCATTTATGTTTTTTAAATAACGTAACATATAAAATCAGAATTTTGATGTTTGTTGAAGGTAAACTAAATTCACGAACAAATACTTACAATGTCGGGATAGTATTATGATTTTTTTTTCCTGGTTTTCCCTCATAATTTACTATGGAATCACTAACAGGAGAATTTTACTGTCATCATGTCATGTGTTTGTCTTTTTAAAGACGAATTACATGCTATGATTTTTTCTGACGGATATTCTCAAGTTAAAGTTGATTTCATGTAATCGAATGAACTATCTTATAAGTAAAGTCGTCCCAGGAGCGCAACTCAACAATATTGGCAATATCATTTTAAAGTCGTCTACTTTAAAATGCATAATGTATGTCTGAATTGTCAATATAAATGAGTCAGATAAAATTAAATTATTAGAAGAATTTTTCACTATGTAACAAAAAACAAAATTTGTTTAATTTACTGTTTGTATTTTGAGAACGATTTCCGAAGTGGAAATTGAAACGTCAATAAACGTATTTTTATCTTTAATTGTGGCTTATTCCCAGTTTAATAGTAATTAATTTACAATGCCACAAGAAAATAGCTTCAGAACAATTTCAAGTAGGAATTGAAAAGATAAATAAACATAACATTTATGTACAAATAATGAAATATTGTTTTATAATAATATTGTATGTTTACAATAACTGAAATATATAAATCTGCAGAATTCTGTTCAAACTCTGGCAACTTCTAAAACACAATTTGGGGAAACAAAATTCATGGGCCTGGCAACGCTACTGCCTACTGACTGACAGTCGCTCACTAGTTGATCGGTGACATGCACCTATCGCACTACCGTTAATTTGTTTTCTGATTACTCACATTTTCGTTAATTTTATAAAACATCTTTTTGTACCTAGGTTAATATGGATCCGAAAAGGAGAAAAGTGGATAGTGAAAATGTGTTTCTGGCAGAATGGACTGAATAATATTGCTTTACACTTCCTGATAGGCCGCAAGTGGTTCCGGTGTGCCTTAGATGCAATAAAACTGTCGCCTTAGTTAAAAGTGGAAATTTGAAGTGACACTACGAAACAACTCATAGTCACTTCCACAAAAACTTTCCTCTTGTCAGTCAGGCGCGAAAAGAAAAACTTCGGGTATATCTTAATTCTTACGAAAAAAGCACAAAAATCCTGCATGAGCGACCAAGAAAAATCCAGAGGCAGCATTGCATGTGTGCTGGATACTTAATAAACATCAAAACCATTTTCTGATTCTGAGATAGTGAAGGAATGTATGCTGGCAGTAGCTAACTCACTTTTTGAAGAAAAAAAGATGTTGCCTCAGCAATTCAAAGCATCTCATTGTAAGCAGGAAGTAATACATGAAGAATGGAAATTTTAGCTGCATATATGAAAACCTCTCTTCTTAATATTTTGCAAAAGGCACCTTGCTACACCATGGCACTTGACAAATCATGCTACATTGTTGATGATGAACAAATCTGTTTTTGTAAGATTTCTTGATATTGATTGTCAGATTTTTAGGGAAGAGTTGCTAGCAATATTGCCGCTGAAAGGTAACACTCGAGGAGAAGATTTATTCAAGGTTATTGATAAATTAATTTCTAAGTAGTAAAGAGGATCAGGGATAAGAATTCAAACTTTATAACATATCAGTGCATAATACACCAGGCAGCCCTTTGTGGAAAACTTAGTGCTATGCTTAAAGAACATGGACAGTTTAGTGAAGTTAATTAATTTTATGATATCTCATTCTGTTCTTCAGCACCGACATTTCAAGGAGTTTCTTTCTGAATGTGATTCAGCATATTCTGACTTACTACAACACAATAATGCTCGTTGGTTAAATAAAGGTCAAGTTATTAAACGTTTCTGGCTAATAAAAGAAGACGTGTATATCTTTGAAAAAGATATTGCACAACAAGAATTCATTCATTTTCCAACTATTCTTGAATATAATAAAAATAAGGAGTACTCCGAAGAAGACATTGCAGTGTTCGTAAAATTTCTGGGTGATCTTAGGAATGAGGTAAGCAAACTATCTTCATTTCTAAAACCCCCATTTGAAGTTGATGTAGCGGCAGAATGGACAGATGTGGCTGCTAAGCTGTTTAATCTATCAAAAGCATTACTTCAAATGGAGATTATTGAATAACAAGAAGATTTGTCCTTGCATGTATATAAATCAGTATCCGCCGAAAAATTTTGGGCCAAATATGTGCCAGAAAAATATGAAAATTGCAGACAACTTGCAATCAATTTGGCCACTATGTTTGGCTCAATGTATATGTACGAAACGTCTTTCTCAAAAATAAATTTTTTGAAAAACAATTATCGCTCCCGATTAATGGACGCCCACCTTGAAGATACACTTCGAATTTGTTGCTCGACTCGAGAACCAGACCACAAACAATTAGGTAGTTCAAGACCATTGATGCAATTTTTCACATTAATTTAAGGTCTTTTGTTCTATCATTAAGAATGTACCAATATAATAAACAACTTATCATTAAATGTTATCATGTGTTTTTTTTTCTGGACCTTATTCAAATTTTCTTCTAGTATCCGGATCCCCCATAAAATTACTTGCCGACCCCTGAGTTAAGCAGTCAATAGATTGCAGCAATATGCAGTATTTTTAATTGTTTATCATTTCACTGTTAACTATGTACCTAAACAGAAAATGCAGCAGACTTTTTAAGTAGACTGCCTTCCAATAAATGAATAGTTAGATTCAACTAAATTTAACATAGACAAAACTGTAAATTTTTAAATTATTTACCATAAAATTCCTATTAATGTGAGAAACAGGGTTGGTTTGTCTCGTATAACTATACATGTTACAGCGCAATGGACAAAAAAGTAAGAATTAGGAATTACACCCTATTCGAATTACTACACAATGGAATTTCTATTAAAGATTAAAGCAGCCTCTTATTGGGCAGAAAAATTAATTGTTCTGAGTAACCTATTAAGATACTTTACTGAATAAACTGCATATACAAAGAAAAAAATTTTAAAATTTTTCTTAATAATAAAGAGTCAAGAAAATTTGCCTAATCAAAGGAAAAATGAGCTCAACCTAATATTCATAACATACTCTATATCAATAAATATGGTAAAATAAGTAATATATATTAGCCATTCCAATAACTTCCTTGTTTGCACAACTTATCTCTTCATTTGTGTTTTTTAACATAATCAATGTACATATTATCTAATAGATTGTTACCTTCAACAGTTATTCACCTACGCCACTTGAATCATTTTTTGTTTTATTTAAGGGGTTTTAAAAAAAATCAGTCACCTAGATATTATTAAAGAAAAATTGAAAATCGACCGAATTTTTTATATAAATTAGTTTTTCGTATTAACTTAAGTACATACCTGATCCAGAAGGACCTGAACAAGATCTTTATTTCCCTTATACGCAGCATGTTGAAGGGGAGTCATAGAATTCTCATCCAGAATATTCACGTTTTTTGTTTCTGCAAGAAGTGTTTTTAAAAGAACTACATCATTATTCTCAATTGCCTTAAAAATTTGCTGGTCTGTTTCAGACAATGCTGGTTCTTTATTATCAGACATGCTAACTTTTCTGTTGTCCCTTTAAATTTTTATTTAAATCATTCACTCTGGTAAATGAAAAACACCTATTTCCCCTTTCAACTACTGTCAATACATAGTGTCAAACATGAAATGTCAATGTCAACAAAGGTTGATTCTTCTGTTTTAGAAATATAGAATTGAATCATTGATTTTTGTTTGTTTCAACCATTTTAGTTGTCGGTCTTTATTTATGGCACAAGAATTGAGTTGGGACGATTTTCACATTTGGTCCCATTGAAGTTAGCGTACGATTTTCACATTTGGTCCCATTGAAGATAGCTTCAAATGGGTTTGACAGAATGAAATATTGGTTTTTCGCAGTGTTGAAATTTACATTACAAATGAAATATACACAATTAAAAGCAATAAGATATTTAAAAACTAATATTTAACGATTACAAAAAAAAGAAAAAGGAAATAGTTTTAAAACATTTTTTAACAGTAAATAGTAAAAGGCTAACTTCAATGGGACCAAATGTGAAAATCGTCCGAAGTTAGCCTCAAATTAGCTGTCAATTAAATTTTATAGAACGAAATATTGCGTTGGCAGTGTTGCCATGTTCTTATAATGTATATGTTGTATGCTTCAAATACAAAGAGATAAAGCTTTTAAAAGGTACATTTTTATCATATTATTTTATGGATTTTGCAATTTTATACCTTATATAAAATATTAATGAAGTAATATTTGTTTCGTTTGATATTAATTGTAATAAATTATTAGAAAATTTTTTGGCAGTTGCCCTTTGATAGGTTAGCGGATAGATTTGGCAATAGAGTCAGAACCTTCAAACCACCAGCCATAGAGAAATAACAAATAATTTATTTTGTTATTATATATATTGTTATTTCTCTATGCCACCAGCTGACAGATTGCAACAGATGCCTTTTAAATTTTATTATTTATACTGACATTTTCGGTCAGATAGCTCAGCGGGCTGTGCGGCTGCCTCTCATTCGCTTCACTGTCGAATGGTTCAGTGGATGTGGGTTCGAGCCCCAGCTCGGTGTACTGTAGACAAAATGTCTAAAGGCAGCTTTACATCTAGGCTATGCAAGTCTCATGCTATGCAAGTCCGTCTTGCATGGCATATCTCTTGCCTAGCTTGACCTTTTTACATCAGAGATATTTCTGTGCAATTTTAGATCCCCATTTCATTGTTGCCAACAGAAAAAATATTTGTCAATTTGAGGTTATTTTATTTTTTATAAATATAATTAAGTACTAAAATCAATAATATAATAAATAAATATACACTATTTATGGTTATTAAAAGGGTGAAGGATCTCAACCAAAGAAAAGAAAACATTGTTATTGTTGAATATTGCTGTTGTAGCAACAATCATCCATAGTCAACGACTCACCCAGTCGTTTTTACATTAACTTTAGACATAATAATATCTATTTATCACCACTTAATAAACTTAATTTAAATCAAAACACAACAATACACACGTGGGCTAAGGGACGCTAAAGATAGAGATAAGGTTATGTTTTATTCTGTAATCTATTATAAATTGTTATGTTGGCAACATGAATTTTAACGATAAATTGCAAGAGAATTGCATGAAAAATAGAACATGTTCTAATTTTTCGTCTAGCACACGAATTGCATGAAAATAGCCCGTGGGCATGCGCAGTTCCATGATCTGTCTTGCATGGCTCTTGCCTAGCATGAAAATAGCATAATGTAAAACTGTCTTAACGCAGCAGTTTAAAATTCTAGATGAATCTGCGGCTTAGACTAGGATATGCTGGGATCTGATCGGCCTATGGTGGAGCAGTACGGCAAGAGATAAGGGCTTGCGGCTTGGTGATACTCCTCCATAGATCCCTACCGGACGGGCGTAACGCCTAAAAAACCGGATATATATATATATATATATATATATATATATATATATATATATATATATATATATATATATATATATATATATATATATATATATATATATATATATATATATATATATACTGACATTTTACTATTTACTGTTCAAAAATGTTTTAAAACTATTTACTTTTTCTTTTTTTCGTAATCGTTAAATATTAGTTTTTAAATATCTTATTGCTTTTAATTGCGTATATTTCATTTGTAATGTAAATTTCAACACTGCGAAACACCAATATTTCATTCTATCTAGATTCTAACTCGATGATTCTATCAAACCCATTTGAAGCTATCTTCAATGGGACCAAATGTGAAAATCGTCCTCGAGTTGATTCTAACTCAGAGATATGCTTAGGACGATTTTCACATTTGGTCCCATTGAAGATAGCATGGACGTATATAGCCTCAAGTTAGCTGTCAATTAAGTTTCACAGAACGAAATATTGCGTTGGCAGTGTTGCCATGTTCTTATAATGTATATGTTATATGCTTCAAATACAAACAGATAAAGCTTTTAAAAGGTACATTTTAATCATATTGTTTTATGGATTCTGCAATTTTATACCTTATATAAAATATTAATGAAGTAATATTTGTTTCGTTTGATGTTAGTTGTAATAAATTATCAGAATTTTTTTTGGCAATTGCCATTTGGTAGGTTAGCGGATAGATTTGACAATAGAGTCAGAACCCTCATACCACCCGCTGCCAGATTGCAACAGATGCCTTTTAAATTTTATTATTTATACTGACATTTTACAATTTACTATTAAAAACTATTAAAATACTATTAAAAATCAACTTGGCTCGACCAGTTTCGGTCGTAATAGTAATAATAGTCGTCGAATCGAACATCTTGTGTGATGTTGCGTATGGAAGATTGAGATGGACCAGATCTTTTGGGAGGAATTCCGAACATCGTCAACAAGGCTTTGGCTATATTTCGACGAAACTGCAGCAAATCCTTTTCGGGTTGTTCAGGGATAATTTGTCTTATTCTATGGTAAATTAACCAAGCATTTTGTATGAAGACATCAAGACACCAGATAAATAAAGGCCAATACCATTTCTTGGATCTTATATTTGTTCTGTAATAGGCAACATTTTGATCCATCCGATCAGTTCCTCCCATATTTTCGTTATAAGCCCGAATAAGATGTGGTTGTGTTACTTTGATTTTTTGCTTTGGGCAAAGGAGTATCTGTTCAGGAATTCGATGCCAAAGTAACTACGCTGTTGTCATTCCACCTACATAAAAGCACCTCATTTTTCTGGTCGTACCAATTTTCGTAAATTTCACCTATGGATTTTTTGAACGTTTCACTGAATGGACACTTTTCTATTCTATTTGATCATATGGTTCCTACGTAACCTTATTTCTACCCAAGAAAAACGAACCCGATGCTTCCGTTGTTACTCAATAACCAATAAAAAATGTATTAAATGTAAGGTTCTTCTTCTTCTTCAGATGCAAATCCACTAATGGATGTTAGCGATCACATTTTCCATTAACTCTCTATTTCTTGCAATATGTATCAGAGATTGTATGTCGTTAATCCCTGTCCATTGCCTTATGTTTCGGAGCCAGGACATTTTCTTGCGTCCCATTCCTCTCTTGCCTTCAATTTTACCCTCGATTATAAGTTGGAGGAACTGGTATTTTTCATTTCGCATGATGTGACCTAGATACGCCGTTTTCCTTTTCTTGATGGTTTCGAAAAGTTGGCGTTCTTGGTTTATTCTTTTAAGGACATCTATATTTGTGATTTTCGCTGTCCATGGTATTTTTAGGATACGGCGATAAAGCCACATTTCGAAAGCTTCCAATCTGTTTATATCTCTCGTTTTGAGTGTCCAGCCCTCTACGCCATATAGCAGCACTGACCATACGTAGCACTTAGTAAACCTTAGTCTCAGTTGAAGATCGAACTCAGAACAAGTCAGTACCTTCTTGAACTTTACGAAAGCTTGTCGAGCTTGCTCAATGCGACATTTTACTTCCCTGTCCGATGCCCAGTCTTCAAAAAGCCACGATCCCAGGTATTTAAATTTACTCACTCTTTCTATGGATTTACTATTCAGTGTTATGGTGGAGTTTTCAAATGCATCCAAGTTTCTGGAGATGATCATGAATTTGGTCTTTTTGGTATTAATCTCTAGTCCCATTCGCTCACTGTATTCTCCGATTATAGTGACAAGTTGTTGAAGATCGACTATGTTGTCACAAATTAAGACACCATCATCAGCATATCGTATGTTGTTGATCAATACTCCATTCACCTTGATTCCCATCTCTGCATCCTCCAAAGACTCTTGAAATATGGCTTCTGAATAAATGTTAAATAAAAGAGGGGAAAGCACACATCCCTGTCGAACGCCTCTTCTTATATGTATGGGCTTAGATATAGAATTGTCTATTTTTAGCTGTGCCGTTTGATGCCAGTACAAGTTTTCAATGCATCTTATGTCTTTTTGGTCTATATCAACTTTCTTGAGAATCTGCATTAACTTGTGGTGTTGGACACGATCAAACGCTTTTTTGTAATCTAAAAAGCATAGGAACACATCCTTCCTCTGATCGTAACAATTTTGGACCAGTACCTGTGTTGCTACTATTGCTTCTCGTGTTCCTAAACCTTGCCTAAACCCGAACTGGGAATCACTGATGTCCCTTTCACATTTTTTGTATAATCTATGTAAGGTTGCATTACATGAAAAATGTTTTAATAAATTTCATAGCAATACGCAATAATTTTTTTTTTATATTATTTTCATGTCAGTTTATTTAAAACTCTTTTATATGATTTAATAAAATATTCCACAACGTATTAAAAGATTTTTTTACATCCTTATATATATATTTTTGTTAATTTTCTGACTTTCAGAACATAAATTTTTTAGAAATTAAAATAAAATAAGCATAAATAGTTCTGGGCATTAATGGGTTAAAACGACAAGGTAACATTGCCAAATACAAAACTTTCCCTCATTTGTAGCTAACTTCAGCCCTTCACCGGAACGTTCTTTATACTTTTACCTTCTTTTCATTATTTTTATGCGTCGATATGAGCTCAATTGGTGCTTTTCTTCTACTATAGATTTTATCTGATATTCTTCTTCTGTATTGTTATACGGACTTTGACTTTTTTGTACGGACAGCACAGATCCTTGATAAAAATAGAAAATAAAAACAGATTATACATGCTTAATATTCTGTGTTTATGCATATTGCAGTTTTATTGTTTTAATTTTAATTACCCTAATCAAAGTTTAATTTTAAAAGCTTCTAAATTTACCAGGAAGGTCTGAATTAATCCTTTAATACAACTTTTTTGTCTTTTCCGTAAAGGTTATAATAAAAACAACAATATACAAATAAATAACCTATATTTTAACATTTCACATGATTTTAGAGTTAAGATTTATGAAGCTTAACAAAAGAGGTATGTACATAAAGTTAAAATTAAAAAAAGGTGTGATGAGATGATATTGCATTTAAGAATTATTAGAAATTGATAGGTTTTCCGCAGTAAGCCGCTAAATTAGCCTCCCTCAAAGCCTCAGAGCAGGTAGGGTGAGCGTGGCACACTCTGGCGATATCTTCACTCGATGCTCCGTATTCTTGACCAAGTACCGCTTCATTGATAAGTTCTCCAGCTCCGGGGCCGATGATGTGTGTTCCTAGAACCCTATCGGTAGCTTTGTCAGCTAGTACCTAAAAGAAATAAGTTTTTGTATTTAACAATTGTAAGTTAGGTTATGATTGTATATAGTACCATACAGTGTGAGTAAGTAAATAATATTGTGTAAAATTAAAGTATTTACTGCAGGAACAATTTATATTTTCTAATATTCTAAAGATATACAGAAATATGTATAAAAAAAACTGAAAAGTACGTTTACCTTAACGAATCCATCCGTGTCGTTATTTGTTTTTGCTCTGGAATTAGCCATGAACGGGAATTTTCCTACTTTGTATGCAATACCTTCGTTTTTAAGATCTTCTTCCGTCTTTCCAACCCAACCGACTTCTGGATGAGTGTAGATTACAGATGGCACGCAATTGTAGTCGATATGTACTGGACCGCCCTGTAAACCCTCGACGCAGGCGACACCTACAAAAATTAAATGTTATTTCCTTGATACAAGCCACCATTATCAATATAAATACATAAAACCGGTGTTACAACAAGGATTACATTTTTCTAGTGAATGTTTGTATCAGAACTATACTACGTTTCACGTTTAGAAAATAACATTGCGAAGATAGGGCCATGTATTTCTTATGGACGATAGCAACACGGCGTTGCCACGACACACACAAGCACAATTTAGGTTTGTATAATTTGTATTTTCGTTTCCACAAACATGAATTAAAATAATGTTTTTTAACGTAATTGACCAAAAGTGCCCATTCGAAACAAGAGATGAAATGTAGGGAAAATGATTTTAATTAGATAAATAGTATTTACAAAAGATAATTTTATTTTATCTTATTTTAATTATAGTAACGACAGTTTATTTGTTTTTCGGTGAGAATACGATATGCCATGAATCATATAAATCAGTAGAAAATATTGACCGCTTGGAATGCGTATATCTAATTACTAATTGCAACTTAAAATAATACGATGTGCGTATGTCAGCTATTTTATGTCGTCTCTGACTACATAATGATAATAAGACTTTTATTTAGTAGTTATTCTGACTTTACAGTTAAATATTAATTGAAAATGAAAATTCAAAAATTAAGCAAAGGGAATATCTTGGACATCCGTGCAAAAGAGAGTGTCTGAGAGTTTTGGCAACACTGATCTCCATAAGCGTAATGTTATTTTCTTAACGTGAAACAAAGAATAGAATTTCTGTGTGTAAATATGGATAGTCTTACCCTATGTAGTGTTACAGTGTAAGACTCATAATGACATATGCCTCAAAAACAAGGCCCGACGCAGCCACAACGCAAAGGCTACTGGAAACGACAGAGATGAAAGTACTGAGAAGCTTTTTTTGATAAAAACTACCAATCGTTAAGAAGGGTAAATTAAATTTAATTTAATCAAGGTTTTTATAGGTTATTATATAATTTGAAGTAACCGAGTCTTTTACGACATTCAAAAATTGGGTGACTTTAAACCTAGAAAAAAACTAAGCTTTTTGAGGATTTTTGTAAGTTTTTGCTTGCTTAATTGTATTATTTGAAATCGATTCTTTGGAAAAATCCACAAAAAAAAAACTATAACTCAGTTTTACGGATTTTTTAAGGTGACGCACCTGACGGAAAAATAAAAAAAAGAAATATAGTTTTTGATTTAATACATAAAATAGAAAAAAATTAGACCTGTAGCCATCTCCAAAAAAAGTTATACCCTTTTTTTCGAAAAAAAGTTCATTTTTAGGTTATGTACACTCAACACATGGGTCTATAAAAAATAAAGAAGTTTTGTAAAAGCCTTGACTATGCGAGAGAATTTTTTGAAATTTTTAAATTGATTACAAATCCACAGAAAAAAATAAAAACGGAAAAATTACTTTTTGAGGGTGGTAGGTTGGGGGAGAGGGGTGGCGTGTAAAAATTGCGATGAGCCTTATTTTTAATTACATAGAACAAAACAAATTGAATTCTGGTAGTGAGTGCACTTTGCTTATTTTGCACTAATTTTCTAATATAATACGTGTAGATATTTTACACTTGTACACGAGATAGGACATTTTGCAGTAACGAAGACGAAAGAGGTACTTGAAAGAGAGTTTTATGTCAAAAACGCAAAAGAGCAGATCAAAATCACAAATTGTGTGAAGTGCATTTTAGGAAATAAGAAGAGGAGAAAAAAGAAGGTTGGTTTTCTAAACCCATTACCGAAAGAGGGACCACTTGTCAGTTACCATGTTGATCACTTAGGACCCCTTTTGTCAACAAATAAAAATTAACATATTTTGGTTCTAATTGACGACTTTTCAAAATTTGTGTGTTTATATCCAACAAAGAGCACTACGACAAAAGAAGTATTAGATTGTTTAGCTAAACAGCAACAAATTTTCGGGAAGCCTAGACGAATAATAACGGACAAAGGATCGGGATTTACATCTAACGAATTCAAATTATATTGTCAGGAAGAAAATATTGAATATATTACCATTACTGCAGGAGTACCAAGAGGAAACGGTCAAGTTGAAAGAACAAATCGGATAATAATACCTATATTAACGAAGCTATCGAAAACCCAACCAAATGGTATAAACACTTAAGTAGAGTCCAACAAGCTTTCAATTCAACGTACCAGAGAACAATAGACTGCACACCGTTTGACATATTATTTGGAAGGAAAATGAAAAGTAAGAAAGAAGTAAAGATTCAAGAATTAATAGAAAAAGAAGTTGTCGAAGAATTCTCTGAGCAAAGAGAAGAGATACGAATTCAGGCTAAAAAGAGCATTGCAAAAATTCAAGAAGAGAATAGAATAGGTTATGACAGGAGAAGGAAAGAAGCTAGAAAATACAAAGAAGGAGAACTAATCGCTATAAAGAGGACACAGTTTGGACCTGGTCTGAATTCTTGGGCCTTATGAAGATATCAAGGTGAAGAGGAATGATAGATACGATGTTGTTAAGGTAGGGGCTCATGATGGTCCAAGCAATACGTCTACTTGCGCCGAGTATATGAAGCCGTGGATCGATGGAGAATCGGAAGAATCCGAGACGGATTTTTGTCAGGAGGTCCGAGTGTGGATATTTTAAACTTTATTAAAATATTAATGAATGCTTTATACGTGCAGATATCCATACCCCACATATGCGCTCATAACGTTCGCTGCTAAGAGGAAAATCAAGGCGCATAACGGAAGTCGAATCACATTATATCATCAGCAGCCGTAAGACATGTTTGTTATTTGTAACAAAAGTTAAAATAACCATAATTTGAAAGTGTTATCAATAAATATTACTAATTCACTATAAAAGTATTATTGCGACGAAGACGTGTAGACCTACACGACGATATGAAAAGAAAGACATACATATGTATCAAAACAAGAATTTCTTTATGTAAATATGGATAGTGGATGTAATTTATGTCCTGTTTTTACCTGTAAATATATATATTAGTACAAAAGAAACAGATCTGAATCTAGATATTTAACCGAGAAATGTATGTTTTCTATTGAATGTGTAACCAAAAAGTGAATTTGGTTTTGTACGAATTAGAGTAATAAATATAAATTATCTCATGCTATATAGCGTATTAAGATTAGGACGAATATCATGTGACAAAGTGAGCATTTTCTGCTGTTGTCCCAGATATTTGATCAAATTGTACATTTTTTCTTCCAACCAGAACCTCTGTATTGGTGGATTATCAATATATGGACCTGAAGAAAAAGACACTACATAATTCAGTTATATCTCGGTATGCATATATGAAACTATAACAGTATGTGTTTATATATATATATATATATATATATATATATATATATATATATATATATATATATAATATATATATATATACCAATCCATTATTGGACTGCTTACAGAACCATTTAGGTAAATACAATTTATTTTTCATATAATATTAAGAGGATGTCTAATTAATAGATGAATATGTTAAGAAAAAGTATATGTACCTTCATCTTCAGCCTTGTGTGCCAACATAGGGCCGTGTATGCAATCACCAATGGCATAGATACTTGGAATAACAGTCTGGAAGTGCGAGTTTACCGGGATTCTTCCTTTCTGGTCTTTGGCAATTCCCATTTCTTCTAAACCTAATCCATCAGTGTAAGGTCTCCTTCCGACACACACCAACAGTACATCACAGTCGAGCTGAAACATGTACGAAATCGAAGCTTAAATTTTCAACTTTACTACCATCTACTCACCACTTCTGTTTTACTCGAATCTTTTCCGTCTTCGATATTAACTTTAATCACACCTCCTTCTCTCGAAGCTCCTGTCACTTTGGTTCCCAACTTGAACTTGAGACCTTGCTTCGAAAGAATCTTTTGGAGCGATTTTGCTACCTCCGCGTCGATACCGGCACCGCCGATGCTTGGCAAGAATTCTATGGCGGTTACTTCGGATCCCAAACGGGACCAAACTGAACCCTAAAACGTAGAGTGATCCTTAGATTATCAATAAAAAGAGTAAATAAAATAATAATGCCGGGACAATAAAATCACATAGTCCATTAGCTCAACTTGGGAATATTTTTACAATCATTTTTGGAAAACACAACACAAAATTCTCATCTCTATATTAATAGCCCAAATAAACTTACTGAATAACCATGAATATTGGGAGGGTATATTAATTAATTTTCATTAAAAACTTTTCATTAGTAAATACTAATCTATAAACGACTATAAAATTTCAATTGGTCCAAATTTAACCAAAATAGCAAAAATAATTAATAAATTTACTACGCAGTTGAGACTGGGATCAGTGAACCGAGTATACCTGTTAGCCTAAGCTCCTGGACTAATGTAGTATGGAAGATTTAACCTTCACCCTTCACGCGAGAGAGTAGAAAAGAAAAATTTTTATTTTTAGGTTATATTACTTCTTGTGAAAATGTTTTAGAGGCAAATGTTTGTTAATATGGTTTATTGTTTAATAAACTCTTTACTAATGTACCATCGGGTTGTTTTTTTAACCCTTTAACGCTCTCTGGTAGCTATACAGTGGTGAGTGCCATATCACCCGCCTTTTTAACGTAAGAGATAGAAAACACAGTTATCTTGTGAAATAAAAGGAAATGAAACTCGTAGAGGTGGGAAATAATCGATAGAAACCTATAATTTACATTACATTACATTACGACTATCGATAGTCTCACACCTTTAGACGTTACCTTCGATCTAAATCACCTCGGTCATAATTATTATGTTTGACAGTTTGACGTCGTATGTGTGACGTATTTCCATTTTTTAATTTAGATAAAGTAAAAACTGATTGACCACAATAAAGCAAAAATGTGAATAAAATAATTTAATTAATAGTGATTATTTATTCTAAAGTTTTAAATTATTAACCAAGAATAATTTCTACTATAATCACTAAACATTTATGTCAGTCGTTACTAGTATTTGAAGTGTTTAAAGTTAAACATAAATATCTTATTGAAAAAATAGTGTCGTCGTACTTTCGAAACTAAAGTAAAATTCTTCAAAATTAAAAGAATGTTTAAATAAGTAAAAAATTTTACAAAAAAAAAAAAAATATTGTAAATAAACGTATCTACAATATGTTCAAATAAACCTTCATTAGCAGCAGAATAATAACCCAAACTGTCACTAAAGAATTATAAAAGTCTGATAGATCAGGGCTCAAGGCACGATGTACTCATGCAGGCGGTTAGGGTTCAAATCCTACACAAAGTTTTTACTTTTTTAAAAAATTTGAAATTATGCAGATATTATATCTTTTTGCTTTAAATCATAAAACATTTATTTCAGTCTTTATTAGAAGTGTTTATAGTAAAACATGAAAATCTTATTGAAAAAACAATGTACTTTCGAAAATAAAGTAAAAATTCTTCAAACATAAAAGAACGTTCTAAATAAATGTACTTACAAAAAATGTTTAAATAAGCAGAAATTCTTTAAAAATATTCTAAATAAACGTATTTTATTCTAATGAAATGTATTTACAAAAAATGTTCAAATAAGCCTCCATTAGCAGCAGAACAATAACCCAATCTATTATAAAAGTTTCGTCTAACATTAGTTAATGTTTCTGGACTAATACCTCTCATTAAATCAAAGATCTTTTCTCTTAATTCTTGGAGAGAATTAGGCCTATCGTCTTCAATTCTATATAGTTTGTACTTGATATATCCCCACATAAAAAAAACACAAGGTGCAAGATCATGCATAATCTTGCAGGCCAAAAAATATCTCCGTGTCCACTAATCAATCGATTAGGAAACGTCGCACTGAGATATTCACGATGCGAGAATTATGTGCAGGACAACCATCGTGTTGAAACCATATGGAATCGAAAGGAATTGGTAAATTACGAAGGGCTGGGACAATTTGATTTTGCAGAAGTTCCAAGTATTTCCGCCCAGTCAACATACCGTCTATAAAAAATGGACCAATGACATGATTCCCTATTATGCCTCCCCAAACATTTACTTTTTGAGGACGCTGGGTACGAGCAACATAAATCTGACGAGGATTTCCTCGGGACCAATACCGAGCATTCATTGAATTGTGACGGCCATGCAATGAAAACGTACATTCATCGGTGAACAAGACGTTCTCTAAAAAATGTTCATCTTGATGTGACATTTCCATTGCAGTTTGACAAAATTCTAAACGTCTCTATTGGTCCCCAGAGAATTGTTCGTTGGATTTATGAAGTTTATAGGGTCGGTATCCATGTCTTTTCAAAATTTTACCAACTCTAAATCTTGAAATTCCATATTGTTCTCCGAGACGAGATGTTGATTGGGTAGGATTTTGCTCAATACTTGCACAAATCAAAGTGTCTCTTAGTTCCAATCTGGATTTACCTCCCTTCTTCTACGAACTCCTCTTGGAGCGAACACGGATCCATAAGTAAAAAAATTACGTATAATAGATTGAATTGTTGATCGTGATGGAGCCGGCCTATTTGGAAACATATTTACAAATTGTCTAATCATGTTGTCTGAGAATCCATTCACATGCCAGACAACAATTTGCTCTTTTTCCTCGACCGTTAAAAACCATTTTCACGAATTGTTTTTTCAATAAAAAGTTTCTGTTTACCGTGCAAAAACACTTCTCGATATGTTATTATTTGATGGCTTAAAGGCTTCGCTTCGCGCGCATCCATTCCAATGTTGTCAATTGTTTTGAAAATCATTATCTGTACAGAGGAATTGATATTAACATTGAGAATTTAGTGATGGATTTGATATAAACAGTCTTCACCGGATTATTTTGCATTCACAACTGAACACTGTATGAATTGAATTTGAATCATTTTGTATTTCCGTTTTATAATATTGGAATAAAAATAAATTGTAAATGAGTTTTTCGAAAATTTGTTACCTAATATGTATCATATTTTCTATTATTTTTTTATTGATAAAACAAAATTTTTATCCTTGGTGTGGAATTGAACCCCAATTTTCTCGTCAATAGACAACGTCCCTAACCACTAAGTATTTATTCTAACATCAGAAATTATTAAAATAAAATATTTTTGAGGGTATCCGTATAATTATGACTGAAGTCAAATAGCCACGTCTAACGTCTAAAGGTGTGAGCAGTGTGAGACTGTCGATGGTGGTAATGCAATGTAATGTAAATTATAGGTTTCTATCGATTATTTCCCACCTCTACGAGTTTTATCTCTTTTTATTTCACAAGGTAACTGTGTTTTCTATCTCTTACGTTAAAAAGCCGGATGGTAAAGCACTCATCACTGTATATACCACAAGGTATTACGGCTTATTTTGTCATCAGAGTTGCGGTAAAAACAATCATCATAGGCGCAGTCGATGCACTAAATGCTTGCTGATAGGTACGAATACTGAAAGACTGTATGCGGCGTGGCAACCGCGTGTTTTCACAAAACTGGTATGATAAGCTACCCGCGTGGCTTTCTACAACAGTCTATGTAAAAAATCGTTTAATCTTATTTTTGTTTTGTGCATATGTCATTTGAAATAAAATACTTAAACAAAAATTGAAGGTAAGTGTTAAATGTACTTTTTTCATTACTTTTAACTAGCAGATAATTATTTAAAAACATTGGAATAGTTATTGCAGGAATAAATATGTTTTATGATAATTCTAAACCCAAAATTCATTTTATTTATCCCGCCGAAAACTTATGTCAGTTATTAAACAATATTGTGGCAACAAATTGCTATAAAAATCTTGTTGTTTGCCATTAACGATAGGAAAATATTTTTAATCATTTTGAGGATTATACCAAATAAAAGGTTATTTTGTCACATACTAAACCAAAAAAATCTCGAGATCGTGGTTTACGCACAATACTAAAATTTTTACAGATACATTAAAGCAAAGTTTAGTATTTATTTGCTAGACAAGGTTCTACAAGACTTTAAATTTTTATTAGGCCTATTTGTCATTACAATTTTTCCAGAACATTATTTGTTTTTTTTTAGATGTCTCAAAACCGACCGCTTACATAAGCTGAACTCCAGTATATAGTGGACCATCTACGACAATTTCCCCGACACAAGCTCAATTTCCGGAACTCCCTCAAAATCCTTTACTACTACTATCGACAGCCAGCCGACATATTCCAGTTCTTCAGTACAGCAGTTGAAAATGGTGCGCCAATCTACTCTTACAAGAAAGACTAATAATTCTAGCGGAAACGAAGATTTTGATGATTCAGATCAAGATCCTGACTTTGATCTACATGATGGATTTGATTTCAAACGCAAATTCGCTAGGTTATTTCCTAAAAACATTTTTTCTGATGAAGAAGACGAGGATGAACAACTGTTAACATTACCTCAAGCAACAAATTCCTTAACTCCTGCCGATAAAGAAGAACCGGCTCCGTCAAATCAATCTTTTGTGTGGTCCAAGAAAAACGTCCACAATCTCCTTTTCGAATCATTTGATTTTACTGAGTCTTCAAGCGTTAATGTTGACATTAATTCGAGTAAACCAATCGACTTCTTTCAGAGTTTTCTTTAGTGAGAGTATCCGTCAAACAATTTCCAAAGAATCGAACCTCTGCGCTACCCAGAAGAATTCTCAACTTTTTATGGATATGGAAGAAGTCGACGCTTTCTTGAAAATACTTATAGTCATGGGGTTCCACAGTTTTCCAACAATAAGGTCATACTGTACCAGCAATGAAAACTTCCATGTTGAACGTGTGACTAAAGTATTTACATTAAAAAGGTTCCTGGAAGTCTTGAGATCATTGCATCTAAACAATAATGAATGTATGCCCCAAACGAAAACTAAAGAGTTTGATAGGCTCTACAAACTAAGACCACTCATAAACCATCTTTCAGAGACCTTTCAAAATGCTTTTACGCCATAATATAGACATCTATCTATTGACGAAAGCATGTGTGCTTTCAAAGGGCGTATATCACTAAAACAGTACATGCCAGTAAAACCAATAAAAAGAGGCTTTGAAATTTGGGCATTGGCATGTGCTAAAACGGGATACCTTCTGAATTCTGAAAAGCCATTGAATCAACGCCCGATATGTTAGGAGAATGTGTTGTTTTAGAACTTTCGTCGAAGTATCAAAGTCATCAGTATCAGATGGATTTACTAACGTTCTTTTTTAAATTATTCCGCCATCTCACAATCACCTCCTCTGGTCACTGTAAGAACTTTATAAAAAGTGTAAACTAGCTTGATATGTCATATACATATACTTCATCTAATGTACTTACCGTTGCACGTCATTATCATTGACATAGATCGAAGTTGACATAGTTGCCAAAATATAAAAAATCCTGAATCCGTTTGAAATCGAATGGGTTTCATAATTATTGCAAAAGTGAATTATACAACAAAACAAATTAATATTTGATGTAAATAAATAGAAACAAAAAAAGTGTTAAAAAATAATCTAGTTAAAAACAATTTGAGCCGCTTGTATGCATCTATAAAGATGTAAAATGAAATACTTAAACAAAAACAACACTTTTTTCATTACTTATTTACTTTGAAATATTTTGATACAACTAAATTTTCAAATGCTTTTTTTCTTTTTTCTTCAGATTTATTTAAATTTCTGTTTTCTGATCGATAGTGATTATGCAACTAATATAATAATAATTACAACGACTATTTCAATTCTTACGTGGTGACATTTTTGAAATAAAACACACTAATTTTGTTCTAAAGAGAACAGATTTTATTAAATAGGTAAAATTATAAAACAAGAGGTATTCGCTTTAAAATTCAAAATAATAAAGTGCAAAAAGTGTCAATACCGCAACTATCAAATAAGTGTTACCAATTTATGCCACCTTTGTTCAATTACAGTTAGTGTGTTCCGAACAAATGTTCTTCATAAAAACGCTTTATATATCATAAACATATGCATCATAGTCCGTGAGGTCACATGATACCAACACGAAATATTTAGGCGGTAGGTGTGTTCTTTTTTAAAATCATTTTGCCGAGTACACTGGCATTACAGCCACTCGACATATTTTATTATATACGCGTAGAAATAATAATTAAAGATTTCTATTAATGTTAACTTAAAGAAATACACAATAATACATTTCATTTAATTTGTATAAATGCATTATAAAGCGTTTTTATGAAGAACATTTGTTCGGAACACACTGTAACTGTAATCGAACGAAGGTGATATTTTGGCATAAATTGGTAACACTTATTTGACAGTTGCTGTGTTGGCACTTTTTGTACTTTATTATTTTGAATTTTAAAATGAATACCTCTTGTTTTATACTTTTACCTATTTAATAAAATCTGTTCTTTTTAGAACAAAATTAGTGTGTTTTATTTCAAAAATGTCACGTAAGAATTTAAATAGTCGTTGTAAAGAGATGGTAATACTTTTGCAATAATTATGTGACCTATTTGATTTAAAATGGAGTAAAATTTTTGTATACTTTGGCAACTATGTCAACTACGACCTCTGTCAATGATAATGACGTGAAACGGTAAGTAAATTAGATGAAGTATATGTGCATATAATTGCTAGAACAATTAAAAATCACCTAATGTCTGTTTTGATTAGCAAAATAAGGATTCAGGCAAACGCTTCCTGGAATTTGTTAGTCCTATGTAAACTTTTGTCAAATTTCCATTCCTTTCTGACAAAAGTATCTAATCATTCCATTTTTCAAGTAATATTAATTAGATCAATATAATTCTTGTTTTAAAACAAGCATAATTATTTTTAAAGCTTATGTAATTACTCAGGTATGTACAGCAATTTATGAACAAATTAACAATCTTTGTAGAGTTGTAATTAATTTTTCTTACCAATTCCAAACCGATGACACCAGCACCGATGACTATAAGCCTTTGTGGAACTTTACTGAGTGATAATGCTCCGGTAGAAGTAACAATGGTTTCTTCGTCAGTCTAAAACATATTATTTAAATGCATATCACCTATAACTATCCTAAATAATAAAAGAAAATGTACCTCAATTCCAGGAAAAGGTGTAACTTCCGAGCCTGTAGCGATAAGGATATTTTTCGTATTGACTACTTCGGTGGAACCGTCTTCCTTCGCAGCCGTCACTTGATTCGGTCCGGTAATTTTACCGTGTCCTTTGATAAGCGTCACTTTGTTTTTCTTGAACAATTGGGCGATACCTCCCGTCAAACTTGTGACAGCTTTGGATTTTTGACCCATCAATTTGTCTAAATTTAAGTTAACTCCGCTGGCTGAAATAAATACCAGTTGGGTTTGAAGAAATTTATTCAATTATACTCTATTTGTAAATGCTTGATAACACGGTTTTTATGGCAGAAAATTAAAACGGTCTTTATACGGGAAAGATAAAACCATATAAATCAGTTTTGGAAAATTAAAAAAACTTATAAACATATTGTTACCACTCAGATAAACTATGAATATCTATCTATCTAATTAGCCTTCTTCGGTCCATCTTTGGACATAGGCCTCCCCAATCCTTTTCCATTCTTCTCTGTCTGTCGCTACAGTCATCCATCTAGAGCCCACGTGCTTCTTGATATCATCTGCCCATCTCATTTAGGGCCTTCCTCTGCTTCGTTTATATTCCCACGGTCTCCAACTTATAAGAATTTTGTTCCATCGGTCTTCTTTTTGTCTTATATTGTGTCCGGCAAATCTCCATTTCAATTTTGCAACTTCTTGTCTAACATACCTCACTTTTGTTTTCTCTCTTATCCACTCGTTTTTCTTCTTATCCATTAGTTTTATGTGCAACATTTGTCTTTCCATTGCTCTTTGGGTTTTTATGATTTTGTCCATATTTGCTTTTGTAGATGTCCACCTTTGGGAACCATAAGTAAGAACAGGGAGTACGCATTGATTATATACTTTGGTCTAAAGTGCTGTGGATATCTTTTGTTTTTAAGAATGTAGCTTAGTTTGCCAAATGCCGTCCATGCCAGTCTAACTCGTCTCTTGATCTCTGCTGTTTGGTTCTCTTTGTTAAGTTTTATAGTTTGACCAAGATATATATAATCCTTAACTTGTTCTATTTTATCTTGTCCGATTCTCATTGTGATGTCTTCATCTGTATTTGTTATAGTTTTGGTCTTGCTGTAATTCATATTAAGGCCCATCTTTCCAGCTTCTACGTCCAGTTCTTTCATCATTTCAAATAATTCTTCTTTTTCATCGGTATATATAATCCTTAACTTGTTCTATTTTATCTTGTCCGATTCTCATTGTGATGTCTTCATCTGTATTTGTTATAGTTTTGGTCTTGCTGTAATTCATATTAAGGCCCATCTTTCCAGCTTCTACGTCCAGTTCTTTCATCATTTCAAATAATTCTTCTTTTTCATCGGTTATCAATACGATGACATCAGCGTACCTTAGATGGTTCAAACGTTGTCCACATTTTTTTTTTTGAACTATGAATATATTCAAACTATGAATATAATAAATCTTAAATGGAAATGAACAAGCCTTCAGTTAAATACCTACGTCGTCCTCTTCAGCTTTGATAGTACATTATTGATAGTACATCAATGTTTATGGACAAGGGCGTTTTTGTCGTTTTTTTTTGCTACAACCAATTATGCACGTTATATTTAAAGGTGTAAAGGTACGCGCGCACTTGGCCAAACCGGCCGGTAATGACAATTTAACCCTTTAATCGGCAAGACCATCTGCAGAAGGTTTTTACTCTAACCTAAGTATTTTTTAATAACTGTTGTAATCGAGCTGAATGACAAAACCTTTTGTAGGTACTGGAATTACGAAACAAATGGTACTAGTTTGAACGCTGTAGCTTTATTTGAATTACAGCAGCTGCCATTTGAGTCGAGACATTCGTATGATTCAGATGCTAAATTTGTGGTACGGGCAACAACAATATGTTTTAAAAAAGTACTTTCTATTTGAGAAATAAACACCAAATTTTTCGTGTTATTATCTATATTTATTGATTTATTACTGTACGTGGAGAAAATAAGCAGTGGATTTGAAATACCGTGCATTTAGTGAAGGCTGTCTGCAGACGGTCTTGTCGCTTAGTTGCAAATTTTTTTTAATATTTTCTTATTATTACGCTTATTTTTGTTCATTATTTTACCTACTAAACGTGCGGTTATTAGTTTTTTTATGTAGAAAATGGAGGGTAAACTTGGTGTAGAAGGATGTAGGAGAGCATGGGCGACAGGAAAAGGATTCGATGTCCCTACTCTAACTATTCTAAGTGAAGAAGAAGTAATAGACATTATGGAATCGTTTATGGATGAAGATGTTGATGACAGTGACCCGGATTACGAGTGTGATGAAATAACTCCTGAGGATGATAATTGAATGCATATAAAACATAGACTCAACCAGTACATTTGTAAAGGCTGCGAACTTATCACTGAATATAATATACTTACATAGCATAAACCATAAACATCATTTTGCCTCAGACATAGGCGTTACAGGAAACGTTGTTATCAGGTTATTGCAGATAGTGCCAGACTTCCTGAATGATGCCATTTACTTTGATAACTTCTACACCTCATTACCTTTAAAACGTCGTCTACAGTCTCGATCGAAGTTCTTCGGAAGAAGCGTCGAAGTGAAGTTATTCGAGGCGAGGTGACTTTCTACATACTCGTGAAGTCGAGTAATGTAGTGTGACACTTCGTATTCGAACTTCGGAACCTTTGACTAAACGCGAAAAACCGACACAGAACGAAAGTAGAACGAGGCAAAGAGAAGTCGCATGAAGTACCTGTCTACACTCTCCTATAACTCAACAGATATAGCTGCAACGTTCAAGGTCACTGCATCGATAAAGGGAGGAGCCAATAGTCAGTTATATGCGAGCGCCCGAACCGTAAACATCCATATACTTAACATTGAACATAAATTTTAGCGCGTTTGCTACGTTGTCAGATAACTTCGTAATTCGTAAAATAGTTATTGTTTATTGAATTTTCATATTAAAAACTAAGAGGTTCTAAGAAAATCTATTTTTATAAGCTTATTTCCATGACCGTTAAAACAATTTATTTAAAATTTGAATGTTGAATATGAAACAAATTTAGTTTTTTAATTCAATAGACTTCCATTCATTCAGTTCATTTTAATGATGACTAATAACTTCAGCAAATAACATATTTTATCAATTACCCTAAACATCTTAGCTTTGATATTAGTGTTCTGATAATAAATATAATTATCAACTCATTACACTAATAATGGAGTATTCATATTACAGTTCAATACCTCTAAAATAATATTCGATTAGGCAACACCGCTTCAACCAACATCTGTTGTGTCTAGTTGTGTCAAATCGTCACTGTTGCAGTTAAATCTGTTTAGCTGTACTAGCTAAACTTCGCGAGTAGTATAGTGGCCACTTAATGGTTTACATACTTTTAGAAGCCATCAAATACCTATCTGCAAATTACCAGGAGATACTGATAAGGATTTGAAAAAAGAAGCAAAAGGTTATTCTGTCGAATATTGGGGATTAGCTTATGGTGTCGATCTAAGCAGTTTTGTGGAAAGACACTGAAAATGTTCAACACAGGTTGGTGTAAAACCTTTCTTGAAAACCCAGTTACTCAATCAGTGAAATCAATGAAAAATCAGTTACTCAATTGGCTAAGGTGGTTTGTTATGATAAGAAAGCAAACAAATACATCAAGGTTCAATGTCCACAAATCATTCAAGAATACAACTCTCACATAGGAGGTGTAGATGTCATGGATTCATATATGGGTTGAAATGAACTTTGTATCAAAACAATGAACATGGCCACCAGAATTTTTTACCATACTGGACATGGCGATTACCAAAGCGTTCATTCTTTATCTACGCATAAATGTCAAGAAAAATCAGAATGTCACTGATAAAGCTGAAAGACATGACCATGCAACAATTTCTGATTGAAAAGGCTAAAGAGCTGTGTGCCACTACTGAAAAACGTTCTGCTGGATGACCATCATCCGTTCCACAGCCATCTAGTAGTTCTGCTGTTGGCAGACCAGCTGTTCAATAGGTGGATAGTGGAAGATACGACAGATTGAGGCATTGGCCTGAATAGGGATCGAAAAAGTCATGCAAACTGTGTATAAACTCTGACACTCATTCCTTTTACACCAAGTGCAACCTTCACATGTGTAACAAAAAAGGTAACAACTTGTGGTGTTTTCATAAATTTTCCTTCTGAATGACAAGACTGTCTGCAGACATTCTATCATTTATTGATTGAGCTGGCCACCAAACACACACAATATCGCCAAACTGACCTCAAATTCGTTTTTTTCTCACCCAAATTATTTTAAAACCAAAATTCCTGAAACTTAAAACCTGCTATTTCTATCTTGCTGATTAAAGGGTTAATATCTTTGTATATTGAAATCGAAAATCTGCTCAAGTTTCTAAATGTATTTTCTTTTGTGAGATCAATTTTACAATACATAATTCTTGATATTTTTCGTAACTTATGCTGAAGTATTAATAAAATTTGTCTTGATAATCAATTAAATCAGTAAATAAAATAATAAATTCACTTTCTGTGTTTTGGTTTTTATAAATTTCATACACCTATTTATTATGCTTCTTTTATGTAAGTTTACTTTGTTGTTCCTCTTCCTTGCACCATAAATTAACAAATAATAATTTTTGGATCCATCTTTCATGAAATATGTAGATGCACTGACTGAGCTGATGTAATTTTGTCAGTAAATGCGCTTTATGGCATTTAATTCCGGGCTATAGCGGTGTGTTCCTCTGCCAGCGAGTTCAGTTAACTGTGCATGTACCATAGACAGATAGAAATGTAATTTATATAATAAATATTAATAAATAAATAAAATAAAAATTTTTAAAATATATTATACCTAAAATTATCTAGGTACACACATTGATACAAGAAAATTTATTACCTTGAGAATTATCAATTGTGTCATAAAAACTATGCTTTCAAACAGAGTATGGGAACTTATTTTTAAGAAATTTGCATAACAATAACATTGTTCCTTATTAAACAACAGTGTTTACATACACTTGCAGTCTTAAAACTAATTATGACAATTTTGATACAAAAAAAATTAAAAGTAGCTATTAAATATTAAAATTTATGTTATCATTATAAAGACACGAAAACAGTGTAATTATTTTAATAGTTTTATATGAAAAACTGAAGATGGTACTTACTTTCAACGCCTCTCTCAGAAAGGTCACCGGAATGGGCCATGTGATAGAAATGTGAATTGTTTAATAGAGACTTAGATGGTATACAGCCGACATTAAGACATGTACCTCCCAATGTTGGATTTTTCTCTATACAAACCGTCTATAATAAAGAAAATGTTATTACAGTGATACCTGACTTAACTCAGAAACTAGTAGCTGTTCTGATTTTATATAGGATTGTTTTAAACAATTCGTTTGTAGTGCAGTTTTATAGGAAACTCCTATAACTCCTGATTCACTTGGCTGATTTTTGCAATTTGGGACCTGTTAAAAAATAGCTCTTTCTCAGTAATGAGAAAGCTATTATTTTGAAGAAATCTAATAAAAGATTTTGAACAGATCTAAAGAGTATGTTAAACTATGGGTAGAAGTGAATTAATGCATTTACTGCAAAATTCATTTCTTTCCTCTATTAAAAACACAGTTCAAATGCAAAAGACAAAACAAGAGGACTTTTCTGTAATTAAATTTTTAATTTATTTGCAGTGATTTTAAGGGTGTTGTAAACTCGAAATATAATATAATTACCTTCATGCCCAGTTGGGCAGCTTTGATAGCAGCTACATAACCTCCTGGTCCTGAACCAATCACAACAATATCAGCATCTCCATCGCTTGAATATAAACGACTTTGTATGGTTCCTATTATTCTTTGGTTGTGCCTCAAGGTTGGCTGCAAAATAAAGTAGACAGTAAAAAATAATTTTTTCACAAACAATTCTCAAGACAATGAATATGTTCAGGAGTTCACTGTATTAAAATAAAGAATAATGAATTTATAAATAACGATCGATGGTGTTTAATGTGCTCGTTAAATTAAATATATCGATGTGAATACTAATGGAAACATCAAGTGTGTGTTCTGTCAGAAATAAAAAATAACAAGTATTAGGTGCCTTTCAAATATTGGCAGAAAAAACTATGGTTTTTAAAAAGTATCGCTATATTAAGCGGCACATTTTTCAATCCATTTTTTCAGAATTTACATTATAAAAGTCAAAAACGGCTTATCAGAATGAACATTGCTAAGGTTATATTACGTAAATCTGAAAGATTTCTTACCTTTATTGTGGACGATAATACTTTAAAAACTGAACACTGCATTGTTGCTTTTGGAGAAGGTATTAACAAGAAGAGCGGAGTTTGTTACAAAATTGTTATTATTCGAATTTTTGGTGATTTTATTATAATTTACTTTTTCACCTCGACCCTAGAGGTGACATTTATGCGAAAGACATAGGACGTGACTGAAGTTTTTCACATGTACGCTCTGTTGCCAAATTAGATAGTGATTGACATAAAAATAAAATTTAAATTTGCAAAAATAAATAATTTACAATAATATTGGATAAAAAATATTGTTGGAAAAGATAATGGAATATGTTAGCTTTCCAAATATACAAATATAGGTTTTATGAAAAGACCATAAATATTCAAATATTTTTTAGATATCTGATGTGTTAACTCCTAGGCTGAATGCTATTTTTAAATAATTATTGAGATTCAACAATTATTTGAAAAATTACGATTTTGATTTGATAGAAATCAAGAATAGAATAAAAAAAGTATGCTTGAAACTCGGCAACAATGTTCCCTGAATCCGTCATTATTAAACAACCAATTCATTTGAATTCACTGTAGGCTGTATTATTTCTGTTTCTATTGATACTAAAAATTGATAACAATATATACTAAAGCAACAATAGATAACAACTATTACGGAATTTTGTTTTGACATATTCATTATTTGATAAAACATTTCTGCTAGATTAGTAATTACAATTCTAGGGAGCTTCTTGTAATTCAATAAATATTTAAACAAAAACTGCAAAACTACAGGATCTTCCCTTAAAATAGATATCCTGCTTACACATATTAATATTTTGTTAATTCTTGGTAGAATTAAATAACCTTTTTTTATTTATTTACTAAAAATATTTTAAATAATTAGAAATATTAGAATGATAGTGGAACGAATTTTGGATAATTATAAATTTTTTTGTTCACTTTTAATTACATTATCTATTTTCCCAATAATGCAGTAATGTAGGATTATCACATATAATAAATGTGTAAATAAATCTTAAAAATTGTAATAAAGGATAAAGGTAACCACTTTTTCAGTTTTGGCTAATCTGGTTTTCCTCACTGACATTTTAGACATTCGTAACTGTCATTTTTCTGATCGGCGATCGGCGTGTTTTCGTTTTGTCTTTTTTTGTAACAGAAAAATGGCGGCCTTAAAAACTGAAATTAAAGAAGATAACGAGAATGAGGAGGACCAGGAACGCATTGACGATGGTGAAGTAGAAACAGAAAATACGGAAACGTCCAAAAAGAAGAAAAAAAAGAAAAAGAAAAAAGTCACTAATGGTAAGTAGAACAGTATTAATCACGTGTAGAAAATTTTTATAATTAATGGGTTATTTTAGATGAAGATGGCAAAGTCGAAGAAAACGATAAGCAAGTTTCGCCGGAAAACGGCGAGGTGGACGGTGAGGGTGACGGTGATGGAGAAAAAAAGAAAAAGAAGAGAAGTAGGAAGAAGGGTGGTAAACCAAAACAAACAGACCCCCCTTCTGTTGCTATTGCCGACTTGTTTCCCGATGGTGTCTTTCCTATAGGAGAAATACAAGAATATAGTACAGATAAAGATGATCGGACTGCCAAAGACCGTTTTTCATCTGAAGAAAAGCGTGCACTGGATAGAATGCATAATGATATCTATAATGAAGTGCGCCTAGCTGCAGAAGCCCACAGGCAGGTAATTAATAGTTAGTAATTCCTAAATAAACCTGTTTATGTACATTATTATTGTTTAGACTCGCCAACACATCCAGAAGTGGATTAAACCAGGAATGACTATGATAGAAATATGTGAGGAGTTGGAAAATACTGCCAGGAAGCTAATTGCTGAAAATGGACTGAAAGCTGGACTTGCCTTTCCCACTGGATGTTCAAAAAATCACTGTGCCGCCCACTATACCCCCAATGCTGGTGATAAGACTGTATTTGAATATGATGATGTGGTCAAGATTGATTTTGGAACACACATTAATGGAAGGATAATAGATTGTGCATTTACTCACACTTTTAATCCCAAATATGATAAATTAGTTGAAGCTGTAAGGGATGCTACTAATACTGGTATTAGAGCAGCAGGTAATCTATTATTTTTTGTCATAGTTTTTATATTGTACACTAGGTTTTCATTATCAAAAATAATCTCTTCTATCATCAACATAATTGTTTAATAAAAACTTACTTAAATTTTCAGGTATCGATGTTCAACTCTGTGAAATAGGTGCACAAATTCAAGAAGTAATGGAATCATATGAAGTGGAATTAGATGGAAAAACTTACCAAGTTAAATCTATAAGAAACTTAAATGGCCATTCCATATCCCCTTACAGTAAGTAAAATAGCAATTTGTCAGTACAAACTATAATTGAATGTTTTTTAGGGATACATGCTGGGAAAACTGTACCAATAGTAAAAGGTGGAGAAGCTACAGTCATGGAAGAGAATGAATTTTATGCAATTGAAACTTTCGGTTCTACTGGTAGAGGTGTTGTACACGATGATATGGAATGTTCACATTATATGAAGAATTTTGATGTCTCTTATGTGCCATTAAGGTAAACTTGAATATCAATACATATATTTTAGATGTGCTATAATTTTAATCCTATTTTTATTTGTCCTTACTTTACTTTCCAGTTTATTAATTTCACAATATAAAAGTTTAGTTCAAAATCATCATTATTTTGGCTTTACAACCCTGTGTGGATCCTAGCCTCCCCAAGAATTCTCTTCCAGTCGTCCCTATCCATCGCCTTCCTCCACGAAGCACGTATTTCCGTATTTCTCATATGTTGGTCTATGTTATCTAGGAATCTTGTTCTGGGTCTCCCTCTTCTTCTTTGAAAAATAGGTCTATCAAGGAGCATTTTTCTAGCTGGGTCGGTTTTGCTTGATCCGCATTACATGGCCTACCCACCTCAGATGTCCTATCTTAATGTGTTTTACGATATCTCTTTCCTGGTATATTCTATAGAGTTCGAAGTTGTATCGTCTTCTCCAGACACCATTTTTATTTACCGCTCCATAGATTTGCCTTAGTATTTTTCTTTCGACAAACATCCTAACATGTTTTCATTGCTTTTTGTTATATTATTGTTTTGTAGAGTTTTACTTTTATATTTCTTGATATACCTGTAGATTTAAAAAGGATATTAAGCCCAAAATAGCATCTATTAGCTGTGCAAATTCTGCGGTAGCGTCATTTTCAGTATTGTCGAGCGTTCCCAGGTATACAAATTCGTTAACTGCTTCGATGACGTCGTTTTCTATAACAAGTGGCTATAGTATTTGTGGTTGCGGACCTATTTTCATGTATTTCGTTTTATTAATGTTTATTATTAAACCCATTTTTGTAGCTGCTTCCTTTAGTGCTATATACGCCTCTCGTGTTGTGTTTTCCGTTCTCCCAAAAATATTGATGTATCAGCATATGCTAGGATTTGCACACATTTGTTATATATTGAACCGGTAGTTGTGATTTGTGTGGTACGTATTACTTTTTCCAGAGCTAGATTGAATAGTATACAGGAGAGTGTGTCTCCCTGACTTGCCCGTTATTTGTATTAAAAGGTTCAGAGAGTTCCCCTGGATTCGTACTCTGTATTCAACTTTTTCAAGGGTTAGTTTGGATAGACTTACCAACTGATTTGGTACTCCTAGGTCTATCATTGCTCTAAACAATTCTCTTCTATTTACAGAGTAGTAGGCTGCCTTGTAGTTTATAAATATGTGGTGCATGTCTACACTTTATTCCAGTGTTTTCTCTAGAACTTGTCTCAGGGTGGAAATCTGATGAATTGTTGATTTACCACCTCTGAAACCAGCCTGGTATTGTCCTATTGTTCGCTCTGCATACGGTGCCATACAATGGCATAGTATATTGGAGAATATTTTATACGCTGCATTTAGGAGCGTAATTCCTTGATAGTTAGAGCATTCAAAGATATCTCCCTTTTTGTGTATGGTGCAAAGTATTTCTGAATTGTACCCACAATACATATCAAACTAGAAATATAAATTTAACGATATTAGTACAAAAAAAAAGAAAAAACTTCAAAATTTTATCAAATACCAAACCATTGGCCGAAAATATTTTAAACAAAAAAAATCCAACCCTCACATACAAGTTGTAGTCAATGTGACACACATCTGTGAGAAACTCGGTTTATTTACATATTGTATAAAATATGTAAATTTATATTGTAACACAATTTTTTTTGTTATAAATAAACTCTATTATTATTATATCGAGACCTCAATTTTGCCACAATTACTAACCTATTTTTAGTTACCTGATTGTAACAGTCTAATACATCCTGACTAGTCAAATCATATGAGAAGAAATCATTAGCAATTTCTAGTAGAACCCCTTTAGGATCTCAATGTTTAATTTTAATTTGTAATTTGCAGATTGTTCTCTATATGCTGTATGATTTTGCTTTTTTATTGTATATTTTCTTTCTTCATATCTCGCAGTTCATGTAGTACACTTTGGTTTTCCAACATGAGAGAATCAAATTTACTACTTTTTTAGTTTAAAAAGAAACTTTAGAAAGCTAGAAGAAATGCTTTATAGAATGCCTGTATATTCTAATATACCTTTAAAATGTATAGTTGTAGTATAATATATTTCTATAAAGTTTTATTTTGTATTTCTCCTGACAACATACATATTGGAACTCCATTGTATATCATCATCATAATTCTGGCTTTACAAACCTGCGTGGGTCCTAGCCTCCACAAGTTTTTTTCAGTTGTCCCTATTCATCGCCTTTCTCTACCAAGCATGTATTCCCATATTTCTCATGTCTTCATCAATGTTATCAAGGAGCTTTGTTCTGGGCTTTTCTTTTATTCTCTGACCAATGGGTCTATCAAGGAGCGTTTTTCTATCTAGGTCATTTTGTTCCATCCGCATTACATGTCCTATCTACCTCAGATGTCCTATCTTACAGTCCAGGGAATTAAGCTTTTTTTTGTGACACTCGTCCGGTCAGGAAACCGACAGTTGTTTTGACTAGTATGGACCTTCATAACAAGAACCTTTATGTTTCCTGCAGTCGATTTTGTGGACTTAATTAATTATTATCAAATTAAGGTCAGGTTAGGTTAGGTTAATTAATTATTAACAAATTAAGGTCAAAACGGTAAATTTTCGCTTTTTTGTCTATCAGCAAAAAGTAAGTAGTTTTTGCTGATAGAAGAAAAAAGCGAACATTTACCGTTTTTTTTTCTTAATTTGTTAATCATTAATTAAGTCCAAAAAATCGACTGCAGGAAACATATATATTTTTGTTACAGAGGTCTATACTATTCAAAACAACTGTCGTTTGCCTGGCTGGTTCAGTGTCACAAACAGGGTACTTTTTGTGCTTATTTCCCTGGTCTATTAATATGTTTTACGGTATCAGGTTTCTGGTATATTCTATAAAATTTGAAGTTGTAGCGTCTTCTCCACACTCCAGTCATTCACTGCTATATATATATATGTATATATATATATATATATATATATATATATATATATAAATATTGTCGCCAAATTTTTGGAACTCCTATGGGATCCACGATTTCTCCTATTCTAGTCAACTTTGTATTAGACGATCTTATTAATGAGAGTATCAAGAAGTTAGATTTCCAGGTTCCCTTTGTAAAACGGTATGTCGACGATCTGATTTTAGCAACCCCATCGGATAACTGATAAACCTTATCAGTTTTTAACTGCTTTGATCCTCACCTATAATTTACATGTGAATTTGAGCTTGATAACAGTATCCCGTTTTTAGACATGCGAATTATTCGCACACCAGATAACAGATTAGTCACTACCTGGTACAGAAAAGAAATGGCTAGCAACCATTTCTTAAATTACCATTCGCCACACCTAATCAGATATAAACTTAACCTGATACAAGCCCTCAGTCTTAGAGTACATATGTTGACACACCCACTTTACAAAGAAGGATCTCTCAATCTACTGAAGTCCATTCTCATAAATAACTCATCCATCATCAATAAATTTCTATATTCAAAAAGCTATGGGCAGTCCATTACTGAAACACCCAACGGACTAACATTAGGGTCCATATCTAACAAAATACAGATGAATAAGTCCCCTCAAACTCCTGAACAAATCACAAAATGTGCTTTGCCCCCGTACTTCCCACAAATCAATAACAAGCTTAACAATCTTTTCAAAAACTTACCTGTCAAAATAGCCTTAAAAAATACCAGAACCTTAGGAAAGTTATTTTCTAAGACAAAAACTCCATTGGCCCCTCTAGAACAATCTAATGTCGTCTATCATGTACCCTGTGCAGAGTGCAACTCCTGCTACATTGGCCAGACCAGCCGCTCTCTTCAAGGTCGACTAACGTCCCACAAAAGCAACATTAGGATTTCTAAAATATCTTGTGCCCTGGCACAACATGCCATTTCAACCAAACACAGTATCGACTTCACGAATAGCAAAATACTGTGCCAAACAAAAAAATTATCATAAGCGATCCATCCTTGAAATGTGTCAAATTCTAAAACATCCATCGTCCCTAAATAAGAGAACCGACATCGACAACTTGAGCCAGATATATCACTCTCTCATCATACAGAACAAATAAAAAAAACCCTTACAAGACAGCAACTTCATTCCCATTCTTCTTTCCATTTTTTTTGTTTGTTCTTTAAATAAAAAGATAAAATGAATCCTTTTTTAAAAAAGGTCGGTCCCCGTTCCGCCCGCTAATGCCCTCAATAATCGTACCTTCTTCCAGCATTCCAAAGAAACACATGTACGACAATAAACTCCATGTGAAAATTATGACATCCTAGAGCTGATAGAAAACAATCGAAAAGATTAGTGTGGTTTGACCCTCGAAAGAGCTTAAACCAACATTCAAATGAAGCCATCGGTTAAAGTTAAATGAACAATAGTGTTCTTACAGTTTTTCTTGTATTTTTTTGTTTCGTTTCTCTCGTTTAGTTGTTAATCGTTAATGTTAAGTTATCGTAGAGTTTTTATAACATCTAAAAAAACCTAAAAATTGTTTTTGTAAGTATGAACCCTGTTGGTTGTTTACTTATATTCTAAAATCTTTTTTATTTGTAGTGAACTGATGATGCTTTTAAAAATAAAAGCGAAACATATTCGAATAAATCAATAAAGTAGTTGACGACTTTTATTTGCCAATTATTATATTATATAATAATTGGCATTATATAATATATATATATTACATAATAATATATATTATATTATATAATAAAACATTATTTTTTGTTAGAGTCCAGGTCTCTGATAGGATTGGGTGTATTGTTGTTTTGTAGAGTCTTATTTTTGAATTTCTCGATATAATTGTGGATTTAAGGAGGATATTGAGTCCAAAATAGCATCTGTTGGCCGTGCAAATTCTGCGGTTTCTCTCTGCGGTAGTATTTCAGTGTTAAGGAGCACTCCCAGGTATACAAATTCACTACTTCGATGACGTCGTTTTTTATAACAAGTGGTCGAAGGATTCGTGGTTGCGTGCTTATTTTCATATACTTCGTTTTGTTAGTATTTATTACCCATTTTTGTAGCTGATTTTTTTAATGCTACATACGCCTCTCGTACAGTGTTTTCCGTTCCCAACTACATCGATATCATCAGCATACGCTAGGATTTGCACTGATTTATTATATATTGAACCAGTGGTTGTGATTTCTGACATACATATACTCCATAGTATAAAGTAATTGAGAAAAATCATACTTAAAGGATATTCAATACCTGTTGTGGTATCAAAAGAAATTAAATATGTTTGCATATGTGGGAGTGACTAACTACCTATCCAACGAAAGGAATATCCATTACATTTACATATATAAGGCTCTTGTTACATTTTTATGGCTTAAGTGGATAACTCTGTTTAATATAATGTTCATTTTTTTTAGATTGCAGTCTTCAAAAACTCTTCTAAACATCATAAACAAGAACTTTGGTACACTGGCTTTCTGTAAAAGATGGTTGGACCGTGCTGGAGCAACGAAATACCAAATGGCCTTAAAGGATTTGTGTGACAAGAACATCGTTGATGACTACCCTCCATTGTGTGACATCAAAGGCTGCTACACCGCCCAGTTTGAGCACACAATCATGTTGAGACCTACCTGCAAAGAGGTTGTGTCCAGAGGGGATGATTATTAGGAAGTTACCAAGAAAAGTTGTATCGAGTGAAACTTATTGATGTCAGTTGTAAATTACATATTTGGTAAATATTTTTGTTGTTTTTACTTGATACAGATGTTGATAATGATCTACAAGGATTTTTATTTTGATTTGTTATAAATGGTTTCCGTGAATTAATTAATTTGTTATGTGTTGACATTGACATTGGAAATAATAAAGATTGCCATAAAAAAAGAGATTTTTTTATTAAAAACACAAAATTTTTTCTAGCAATAGAGTCCCCAAAAGAGTTATACAAAGTTTTCTATATCTGGTGTAAATCTAGTGGTTATGGAAGATATTTCAGCAAATTTGCTTTAAATACCTCAATATTGCTATTGAGAAAACATGCACTTGTTTATGACCACATGAACTTGTTAATTATAATAGGTGGTATTTTATTGCCAAGTTTGTACATAATCATTTTTTATACTTTGGGATATGTAGTAATCTTACCAAGCATGTTATACTGGGTTTGACGGAGTGTAACATTTGAGACTAATAAACTAGAAACAATATCAGTGTTTAATATACATATATTTTCACGTTTTTCATTACATAACAATATAATAGTTCCTTTAGATGTGAAATTTTTGACTTATAAATATAAAATGAATTCATATCTTATTACGACTAATTAATGATTTAAAATAAAAAATTATTTCTTAATTATTTACACAAAAACAAATGAAAAATAGCAGTAATTCAAATAGACTGATGTTCATTATCCTCATCTGGCTCTGGAATATCCAAAATTTGCAACGTTGTCATATCAAACTTATTTCGAGACAGTAGTTTTGGTAGAGGAGCAATAGATTTTCTGTTAGATAAGCAGTCAAAAATTTCTTTTGCTCTGTCAATTATTTTTTTGTCTATACCAATTTCTTCCGCAACGTCGAAGGCATAACTATTGGAGATACCTGGAATATAAAATCGTTTTAAACCAATAATATAATCTATTTCAACATTCCTTAAAGTTAAAATTTTTTTTACGAAAAACTACTGAGATTGAACTAATGATAGAGTCAAATGCTGTTTCAAATATTATGGAGCATGTAAATATGTCCAAATACTTCCAGACACCTCTCTTCAAAATTTGGATTTTTTTTTGATCTCTAATTTTATTGAAAGATATGCCAAAGTTAATGGAGTCTGCAAAAATATTCACGAATTCTGGATCTTAATTTTTTTATCTAGATTCACTACTCACAAGATTTGAATGGGTTCCTGGCGTCTAATGTTGTCAAAAACCGTTACGAAGTCAATGGAGTCTGCGAATGCATCCAGTGTATTCTATATCTTAATCTTTTTAATCCAAACTCACTCTCCCCAATATTTTTTGAGCTTTTCATGTATAACCTTGTCAAAAGCTGTTTAGAAGTTAATGGAGCATGCAGATATATTTAACTTCTGGATCTTTTTTTTAATCCAGACTCATATCCTTCAGAATTTGAATGAGTTTATCACATCTAGTCTTATCATAAGCGTAAATATCTTAAATTTTGTTTATCCAGGCCCATTTCCTTCAATGTTCGAGTGAGCTTTAGATGTCTGGCTTTGTCGAAAGCCCTTTAGAAATTAATGGAGCATGTGATTCAGAAATGTTTTCTTCAAATTTATTGAAATAATGTATTGATCTTCAAAAATTAGATGATAGGGTGCTTCAATATATTGCGATGGATATTTAATAGTAATGGAGTTTCAGAGTTAAAAGAAAATACTAACCTTCAGTAATTTTATATAAAAAATACAACATTCCATTTTCTTTGGTGTGCTCCATCTTCTGGTACTGAATCAATGGCGAGTCTGGAAGACGTTTGTGGATTTGTTGGAAGTGAGTTGAGACTAATATATGGGGACAAGCAGCTCCCCGTTCCAAAAAATGTTCTAATACTCCCTGAAGGAGACAAATACCCTCTGTTTCGCTGGTGCCGTTACCGAACTCATCTACTAAAACCAGCGAAGAAGCAGCACGATCCGTGAGGGTATTATTCATCTATAAAATTATTTAGAAATATATAACTGAATATTGCGAATTGTATAAAGAATTTACCTGAGTTACATCGATCATAAACGAAGATAACCGCACTGCTGCGGACTCCATAGCTAAGACCCTCGAATGCATCGTATCTAAAAGGTTAACATCGGCTCTGGAACACGGCACGTAAGAGCCGACATGAGCTAAATACACCACCAGACAAATCTGTTTCAAATAGACGCTTTTACCGCTGCCGTTTGGGCCTGTAATGATTTTGATATGACTGTTATTCGCTCCAGAATAAAAATCGTTCGGTTGGAATTGATCCAGCATATGTTCAAGTAAAGGATGGCGGCATTCGTCAAGTTGGAAGTAGTTATTGGTGTTCAGAAATGGTCTGACGTACATCTTGCTTGAAGCCGTTATTGCCATGGCTATTAAGCTATAATTATAAGTTCAAAATAATATGTACACCCACCTATGCTATAATTTGATAAAAAAAATGAGAAATAATTATTTCTCTTCAAAACTTTTGAACAAAAAACAGCAAAGACGATTTTCACATGAGAATAGTTTATGTATATAATGATTTACCTGTCTATCATACCAATAATCTTCAATGGTTCTCTTATGTCTTTATTATATTTTAAAATGAACCCAGACAATCTTCTAAGTATTCTATTCTCGTGATCTATTATTTCTAGATAAATATTACCAAGTCGTTTATCCAGCTCTGTAAAATATATATGTATATAGCCAATAATACTTTTATATTTCAAATTGAGCTTTGATGTTTTAAGGAAGTCATATTTTTCACCTAGTAAATGTAAGATACCACTTAACTCATTCATTAAATGTATTTTCGAACCATATTTAATTATTTATAAATATATGACTAATATTAGGAAGTAACTATTGACATATAAGTCTATAAAGCACCATGATTAATTTATGACAGATCAAGAGCGTTATGACTAAAAATTAGATTGATATTAGGAATACCTATTGGCATGTGAGTCTATAAATCACAGTGATTCATTTAGGAAAAATCAAGAGCGCGTTTTAACTGAAGATTACGTTGGTATTAGGAAATAACTATTGACATATTAGTCAATAAAGGACTAATAATTTAGAAAAGATCAAGCCTGTTATCACTGAAGATTGGGTTGATATAAGGAAGTACCAATTGACATAAGTCTATATACTATAATTTATTTAGGAAAGATCAAGGGCATTATGATTGAAGATTAAGTTAATATTAGCAGGTACCTATTGACATAAGAGTCTATAAAGCACCATGACTCATATAGGAAGATCAAGGCCTTTGACTGAAGATTAAGTTGATATTGGGAAGTACCGATTTACATATAAGGCTAATATGTAAATTAATTAAGTACTGTAATTAATTTAGGAAAGATAAAGAGCATTGTGACTAAAGATTAAATAGATATAAGCAAGTACCTGTTGACATATGTGCCTATAAAGCACCATAACTCATATAGAAAGATCAAGACCATGATGACTAAAGATTAGATTGATATTGTTACGTAGCTAATGACATATACATTATTTAAAAAGTACTAAATAGGGTAATTGCCATTACGAAAAATTTAGAAACGTAAACGAATAAACAAAAGTAACTAAAGGCTTAATTGGTAAGTACTTATAGGCGTGTAACTGATCTAACATGCTACTCACCATCTCTAAAGACCCATGATGTATTGGGGAAATACATAAAAAATATGATTTATTGAGAAACGTAAGACATATTAGTAAACATGTAGCAAATTATGAGCGATGTCAGAAGTATATATAGGGAAATATAATTGTTTTGAGAAGTGTTTGTATACAAATTGTTGACCTATAAAGTACGATGACTTGTTTAGGAATTATCTCCAGAGTTATGACTTTATCTGAGGACATATATGACGAATTTTGGCCACTACCTTGGAGAGTGTGATTGATTTAGACGTATTTCTAGGTGTATGCCTAATCTAGAAACTACCATATCTATTTAGCAAGTACTTAGAGAATTATGACTAATTTAGGAACTATCTAAAGATGTATGATGAACGTAAGTGAGTACCTAGGGAAGTTTGATTTGAGAAATATAATCTTATGACTGATCTATAAAGTACCATGACCTATTTATTAAGTTAAAATAGAGTTATACCAGATTAAAGAAGTATTTGTGAAAGTGTTATAGATTGATACTATAAAGTATCTAGTAAATTGTAAGTATTTATAAAATGTGACTGATTTAAAAAGTTTCTTGACTGGTTTTTAAAAATTCAGACAGTAAATAGATGCATGTAATTGATTTTAACAGTACCTAGAAATGTTTCAATGCTTTCTGAAGTACTAAATATCAAATACGACTCATTTGGGATGTATGGCAGGAGTGTGATTGATCTTAGATACATATAATTGATTTGAACATATCGGCCATATTTAAAGACATATGGCCAATTTAGCAAGTATTTAGACATGTATGATTGATTTATGTAAATGATAAATCACGTTTATGTATCTAAGCACTCCACAGGTCAGTAATTAAGCATTTTTAATAACTAACTATTTTCTTACCTACACACATTGGGTTTTTGTAGTGGAATTTTCCTCCTATTTTGAACTAAAAGAGAAAACATAATAATAAAGGGTATTAACAACCATAAAAAATAACTAGCTAATAAAAAAATGAAGAAAAAATTGAATCAATCAAAGAAAAGCAATGAAAACTGGAAAAAATATACGTTATCAAAATTTATCAATTTTATTTTTTTATGTCGTGTAGGACCAATAATATGTCGACGATTTTAAGCAAGAATAAAGAAATTATTGAAAAATAATTTTTACCACATATTGAAATCCTAAATATTGCAAATCTTCAGGTTGACAATCCGAATTCCACTCCTTAATGGCGAGTAAGTGTCCCATTTCCGGCAAATAAACCACCGAACACTCGTCCAAAAAGTCCGGCAAATTATCTGCAGCAAATCTAGCGGCTGCCATTACGTCGTTCATGATTCCTTGTCTTCTTAATTTTTCTAAAAAATTAATGGGGAAAATACAATACCAAAAGTTTTTTTTATCAAAAAATTTTCTATACATATCAGAGCGGAGATCTTCGAGATCACAATCTATGATAAGAAGATAGTAGATAGGGTCTTGTTTGGCAGGACCATCACTACCTGCTCAGAGATTAAGTCATGATAAAGTCCTGAAATCATCCAGGGGTGGCTCCAAGCTAGTTCTGGACTGCAAGAGAGCTCTAACTGGGTCAATTTAATCTGAGTACCATAATTTTCGGATTAGAACTATTCGAGCTTCTGGCGCCCGAGCCATTTATTAAAGCAGTCTATACTACTTGAGGTATTTTGGAGGTTTCTAGACCCCTGGACCGGTAGTGACAGCATGAAACAAGTTATATAGTTTGTCAAATTTTGATGTGGTGACTCTGTCCAATAGTCTCACAACTCAATTTGACCGTAGGAGATGGTCCGTAATTGCAAACAGAATTTTGACTTGCACTTTCTTGGATTAGTGAATAATAAGAATAAGAAATCCACTGAAGGACAGTGGTTCGATGAAGAGTGTCGTAATATAACAGAGAGGAAAAATAAGGCATATCTAAGAAGCAGTTACCAGACTGAAAAACAACAAGTCGCCTGGATTAGATAACATTGGCGCAGAATTAATAAAAAAAGGTGGAGACTCCCTCGCGAGCTGCTTGATAACATCAAATGTAGAAAGATGGCCTATTTTGGACACGTAGTAAGGGGAGACCGATATAATATTTTTCAACTTATTATGATGGGTAAAATCGAAGGACGCAGAGGAATTGGTAGAAAGCAGGTTGGTTGAAGAATATCAGAGACTGCAGACTGGACAGGAATAAAGAAAGCTGAGCAACTATTTAGAATAGCTCGAAACAGAGACAGTTTCGCCATGTTAATCGCCAACGTCAAGGGGACTTGATAGGGAACGTTAAGAAGGAGACTGGAATACCGGAGTAATTATCCCTCTACATAAAAAGGGAGACCAGCTTTAATGCAAAAACTACCAGGCAATAACGCTACTGACTGGCATATAAAATACTGTCAAATATTGTGTATGACCGATTGAGACCATATGCGGAACAAATAATTGGGGGATATCAATGTGGTTTCCGTAGGCAGAAGTCCACAATAGATCAGATCTTCGTCTTGAGGCAAATCTTGGAAAAGACTAGTGAATTTAATACAGACACACATTATCTTTTCATTGACTTTGAGAGTGCCTATGATAGCATCCATCAAGAGTTTTTGATCCATGCACGGAAAGAGTTTAATATACCAGCTCAACTCATTGATATAGTAAAAGAAACACTTAATTACAAAGCAAAATTCGAATTCAAAACGAACTAACAGATATAATCCATGTGAGAAAGGGCCTACGACAGGGAGATGCCCTATCCTGTATTCTATTTAACATCACATTAGAGAAAATAATTAGGGAGTCAAAAGTCAACACAAGAGGAACAATAATAACAAAAAGTGTACAAATATTGGCATTTGCAGATAATGTTAATATAGCTAGAAGCGAAAGAGAGATGATAGAAGCATTTAATGCGATAGAAAGAGCGGCACAAAACAGTGGCCTAAACATTAACGAAATAAAAAACAAATACATGAAGGCCAGTAAATTGACTGGCCAAAGAAACCTACAGAATCTGACAATACGAGACTATAACATCGAAAACGTGAAAAGTTTTTCATATCTAGGTTCACTAGTTACCGCAGATAACAATATCAGTGAAGAAGTTAAGAAAAGAATACATATCGCTAATAAAACATATAATGGAGTAATTAAACATCTAAGATCTAACTACATTACAAGAAAAAACCAAATGCAAAATATACAAGACCCTGATAAAACCGGTCCTTGTATATGGATCAGAGACGTGGACACTGTCGAAAAGCGATGAGAACCTATTAGGTACATTTGAACGAAAAATCCTTAGACACATATAAGGGGGTAAAGGAAAATTACATATGGCGCAGAAGATATAACTTTAGATACATGGAACGAGATCTGAAAACACAAGATTACCAACTGGAAAAACAAAGAAAAGAACAGAACAGAATGGCGGAAAATCCTAGAACAAGCCAGGATCCAGAAAGGGTTGTCGAGCTACTGATGATGATGATGGATCATATATGTTGCATGCGCTTGGTGAAAGTACTACCACATATATTTTCCACCATGATTTCATAGATTTTCCACCTCTTCAAAAAGAAAGCACATTGCCTGTTCTAGGCACTCCGAAGCCCATGTGGAGATAAACCAAAAAACATTTTGGATAATTTTAAAATATACTTCGTCAATTCTGTTTCCTGTTTTCAGAAAATACAGGCTTAAGGTCCAACTTTTCTTTTTTTTATTCTATCCAGTAATGTTGACTTTTTCGATCGCACAGATTCTATTGAAGCTATTAATTGACATTCTTCATAGCTGGATTTATTACTTCTTTTGTGGTAAGTTCTTGGAATCTGGAATTTAAAATACTACTATACATTTCATATGGGGTAAATCCGCGCTGCGTGAAATTACCCCACAACGATTGCGCGAAATTGCCCAAAATATAATTGCGTCGTTCCAAATTAAATACTTGATGTTTATTTAAGACACATCAATGGAAATTATTGAATTGTCGAATAATTATAGTATCACGTTTATCTGTGATAGTACACCTCACTCTTTGCAAGCTCATAACATACTGAATTTTCTGCGTACTTTGACGGCTTGGCACTAAGGAAATGAGTAACACAGTTGGCGGAACTCTTAATCGCCATAATCATTTTAAATAAGCTAAAACGAAAGTCGTATTTAAATAACCTAAATATTAAAATTCATTGTATAAGAATGAAAGAATAAAAATACAAAGTTTTATTGTAGAATAAGAAAAAAATAAGCTTACTTTCGTCTAAGTCCTCGTCCAATCCAGACCTAACAATGGGTTTACCACGTTTTTTGCTGACGTCAAAATCTAAACCATTTTTGATGGATTCCTCCAGGCTTATTAAGTTAGGTGAAATTGCTTCGCACAGATCAAATAACAGGGAACAGTTTTCTCTGTACGGAGCGCTCAATTCGTTTATGTAAACTGTGTGGTAGATCGTCTAAATTTAAGAATTTACTAATTAACAAGTTATATTATGCGGTGTAGGTGTTCGCCATCGGCGTTTTGTCTGTCAGTGTAGCAGACGTTATGGAACGCGATGTGACAGCGCTTATAATTATTAAAATCTCTTTCCGCATTGCCATTGATAATGTTTGCGCAATTTTGGACGAACCATCAGGAAGACATAATTTTAGAATACGACGTATAAATTTCGAAAATGATTTATCATAACGAGTTATAGTTACGACATTAAACAGAATGGTTAATAAATATATAAAACAGTTCAGGTTAATATTTTCAGTAATATCTACGTAATCTCGAAAACGGTGCAATTGTTAGCCTATCTCGTGACACAGCCATAAACATTTTGGTTGGAGCTAGCAACGTTTAATTCGTAGTAATGTGGTTCACGTTTATTTTTAAGTTTTAAAACTTGTTCTCGAACTTGTTACGCTTTTTTTGGTAATTTGTTGCTTAATTATAGCAGAAGATAGCTTCAAAAGTCGTTGTTTTGAAAATTATTAATAGCTTCTCTAAAAATGCACAAAAAGCTTTAATTTTATGTAGAATGGGAACAATATTACAAATATTTTGCTACAGACATTTCAAGAAGTTTTACTTAACACATCATGAGCGGGCGATCTAGCATGGTCAACAATGTTGCGTAGCGGGCGAATATACAATGTATACGCTCGGATACATAAAAGTTTGAGAGTTGTAACTCAAAATCTAACAAGTTTTTAAAAAAAAATAAGAATAGAAAATGCCTAGAATAAGTTTCTACATCCGTATTGGCTATAATAGGATTAGAGTTACCAACTTTGTAGGTTAGTTGTAGGTGGATTGCTAAAATCCGTGTAAGTACCTATATTCAGAAGTTCGTGGAGTTCTGGGTGATTTTATCACTTGTTTTATAAAAATATTACTAATTAGTTTTAAATTAAAAAAAAAACATGAGAATGAAAAAATTCATACAATAAATTCTACTTTCATATTACCAATAATCGGATTAGGGTTACCAACTTTGTAGGATAATTGTAGGTGGAATGTATTTGGTTTATAAAAATATTACTCATTAGTTGAATTCTTTATGAACAACATTTTATAAAAAAACATAATGAAATGTACATTTCAATAATATTGCGATACATACAAAAAATATTCATAAAATATATAAGAATAAAACAAATATGATCAAAATTTAAAACAAAACATAATGGAAGATACATTTCAAAAATATTTAAAGGTATACTTACGGACCAATATTTAAAAAAATATATAAGAATAAAAACTATTTAGGTAACGTTATACATACAATATTCAAAACATATAAAAGAATAAAAAAAATATGATCAAAATTTAAAACAAAACATATTGAAATCAACATTTCAAAAATATTTAAAGTTACAGAATAATATTTAAAAAAAGTTATGAATAAAATAAAAACACAATAAAATCTACATTTTAAAAATGTTTTCATAAAATCTTACATATACAACAATATTTTACTGCTTTATACAATTACCTGTAGTTTAGGCTAGATTCTAATATTTTTCCTGAGTATGGTGCCTAAAAAAAAAACAATCTCCACGACGTAGTGAAACTTTGCAAAATTTGCACATATAACAGGTTAAGCTTTTCTTCTTATTGGCGGCACATACACGACACTGTCTCTGAGGCTTTAGTTTTGTGCCCCCTGTAGTAATTTTTTCTAATTTGTGTTTTTTACATCTTTTGATAATCTCTCCGGAGGATCATTTCTATTGGATGTAGCAGATGTACCTGGTACAGGATCATCTCTGTTTTCAGGAGTAATTTCAGTAATCCATTCTTGTGCGACATCATGTAAAAATATCTTATACTTCTTTTTTGATTGTGGATTTAATGTTTTAAAAACCCTGAAAGCATTAAATAGCGCCCAATTGATGAAAAACATTACAGCCCTTTTACGTCCATTTTTTGGTACGACGTACAATCGAGTAATACGATAAGTATTGGTCGGCGCGATCGACACCCTTCATATATTTGTTGTAGTCAACAACACATAATGGTTTCCAAATTCGCTCTTTTGTCGCCCAGTCAATATTGTGGCTTTCTACAATATTAGCTGAATGTATACTTGATATCATTCGAACAGGTATTTTCGATTGCCAACATTGTAATAAAATGTTTTGGCGGCGACGAAATATAGATTCTCCCCTTGCTAGTTTAGCATTTTTCAAACAAAGAGGAAGGCCTCTGTTCAAGCGAATAGTGCCACAAGTTCGAAATCTATGTTGTAAAAGTAATTCACAAGTGGCAACACTATTATAATAATTGTCCATATATATGTGATGCCATAAGTGGGAATATGGTTCCAGTAGATTTAAAATTGTTTCTTGTAATCGACTTCCTTCTCCACAGTACATACGAAAATTACAAATGTAACCAGTTCTAGCTTCACAAACCATTTTTATAAGTAATCCGTACTTTATAATTTTTGATGCATTATAAACTTTGAATGATAGGCGACCCCTCCATGGCATGATGCTTTCATCTAATGATAACTCTCTCTCGGGTTTGTAGACTTCCTGGAATTTAGGTAAGAAATAAGATATAATCGGGCGAATCTTTTTAAGGCGATCTCTGTCATCTCTGTTATCATTATTAGAGAAATGCCACGCATACATATCTGTCTAAATCTATCCCTGCTCATTACTTCAGCAAAAATTGGAGTTTGAATAGTTTTTTCTGTAGACCAATATTCGTCTCTTGTGTCCTTATGAACTCGTCCCATTAGGAGAAGTAGTCCGAGCATTTTCTTTAATTCTACCATAGTCACATCTTTCCACTTCACAGATTTTGCTCTGTCTCTAAATAAATCTGGGTTTTGTGCGCGATACCGATTAGTTTCCATCACCATATATTCAAATAAATCATCTCCAATAAATAGCTTAACCACATCTACTACACTCTCCGAATTATTTGGCATTACAAAAACTCAGGATATGCTGGGTTCTGATCGGCCTATGGTGGAGCAGTACGGCAAGAGATAAGGGCTTGCGGCTCGGTGATACTCCTCCATAGATCCCTACCGGACGGGCGTAACGCCTAAAAAACCGGATATATATATATATATATATATATATATATATATATATATATATATATATATATATATATATATATATATATATACAAAATCTCCACTGTGAATTGTTCAATAATTGGCACATTATCAGTTTCTGACCAATCAAACACTTCGTTATCACTGTCTTCAGAGTCGCTGGATGGTATTGGCAAAACTCGATTTCTTCTAGGTCGAAATAATTCCTCGTCACTTTCACTGTCTAATTCAGGAAACTCCGCATCATGTGAAATCTCCGACAAGTTATCTGCGTATACATCACTATCACTATCAGGATCCATTTTTATGAAATAGTAAAATTCAAATAAATTTATACCGTTTAAAGAAGTTTTTGAAAACGATAAAAATACGAGTAAATGTTCTGATATAGTTATATGAGAACTGGACATGAACAACGAGTGACCAGATGTAAATTTTATATTCTTAAATTCATCACAAAAAAACTCGTAACTCGTAAAACTCGTAGTAACTCGTCTAACTGGACAGGGCACTTAGCCAGAACACAAGATGGATGGTGGACAAGACGTATTATGGAATGGAGGCCCAGAAACTATAAAAGAAGCCGAGGACGACCACCGACTAGATGGACTGATGATATAAAACGTGTAGCGAGAAACTGAGGGAGGCCTATGTCCAGCAGTGGACGCGATTGGCTGATTGATGAAATATTTTACATTTTATTTTATTTCAAATTCGGAAATGAAGACGGGAAGTGGTAAATTTTTATTACATCTTTCAATGTGAGTTAAAATAAAATAAAATGCGATGACTAACTAGAATGTTTAAGATTAGAGAAACATAACGTGCAACTACAATAGGAGTAATAAAGTATTATAATAAACGAAATCATAATAAACGAAATGAAACACAAACATAATATGAAGGAAATTTGAAAGACAAACAAATTTTATTATGATTACTTCGGATGTTATGTCTAATGCGTTCCTAATAATAATACATACACCAATATACTGTGTCCGTACATTATATAAAACATTATTTTTACTTATGTGTCATTTAAAAGTGATGATTTTACCTATCCCGCTTTTAAGCGGCAATGAGCGGAGCGGGTACTTGTACCTGCCCCGCTTATAAGTGGCAATCCGCCAAAGCGGGTACTAGTACCCGACCCGCTCATAATTGCAAAATTGAAATTGTTTTTACCAGAAAGCTTTTATCTACAACGTTATTAAGCAGGGGTTATTAGGCGTGAATAATTTGTGATACGTCTATCTACACTTCACATCAGAATGTGACTTGTAATTTAGGATTTCTCTCTCTTGACACATTTGCTTGGATTTTGCAATAAGTATAGCGTTTTACAATTTTTTGGTGATTTCTAAGGCAATTGTCTCACGATTTTTTTGAGTACTAATGGCATTAGAATCTTAGGTTTAGTTATGTTATTTTGAGTATATTTATTAGGTACTGAAGCAGCATTTATATTAGTTTTGTAGCTCTTTAATGCCTATATCTAAAACGTTGCAACGTCGACCTGATTTTGTTGATTTTTTGCAGCAAAACAATGTCAAAATAAGTAAGAGATTTTAAAAAGTTTCTCCCAAGATCAAAAAACACTATTTAATTCATATTAAGTTTGTTCTGGAATGTATTAACACTTACACCTATACATTTACCTCTAATATGCACTACTCCCAACATAAAATAAATTCTTATAAAAAAAACTTCTTTCTGAAACTAAACAGATTAAAATATGTAACTTACTTTATACAAGACGTACCAATCTCGAAATTTTGCTCGGGAATTTCCAATTCTTGTTAAAATAACCTTAAAGATAACACCGTTTACGAATTGATCTGATCTAAAAATCTCAGCATAATACTTACGTTAATGTCTCCAGAAATTTCTTGCAAATTCTCTCGTAAACTCTCTACAAAAAATCTGTTACTGGGCAGCAAAACAAAACTGATGAAGTCGAGCCTTTGATTGAGAAGATCGATGTTCTTTAAAGGATTTAGTAAGATATTCCTGAGAAAAGAATATTTATTGGCATATTTACATTTACAACGTTTCCAAAAGTATATACATGAGTACATTTTTAAACCTAAAGAGAGGAATTAAGTTCTCTCTGGTTAGGTTTCTCTTGGTGAAATACGGAAAAAAGTTGTTCTCTATTAAAGAACTGTACCAAGTCTTAGACGGCATATTAGATCTTCCAATAGAGTTGGCAACGTTATTAAATGGCGAATGTACTGGGTATGATAAAGACAAGGGGGTAGCCAACTATTTTTTTAAGGCGTCTCCAATCTAAGAAAGTTTGGGAAACATCGGTTTATGGGAATGAAGATATTAACGATGCGAAGTTTTCAAATTATCAGCCTGGATATTTATGTGATGTATCAAAATTGTTAGCTAGTTCTTTCTTATTTTCTCTGGTAGATCAATAACACAAAATTGTCTATGATAGACACACCGTCAAGTATACAGAAGCAACCAATATTACAGAAAAAACGGGGAGAAATATGTTAGTGAGTATCTGTGAAAGACAAGAAAAAATATATGTACAATGTTATTGGTTCTTCAAAACTCTAATAAAAGCATGATGCAGACAAGCAAAATATATGAAAGGCGTTAGACAAATTGTGTATAATACAGTCTGGCTTATATACTACATCTAAAAATTGTACCTACAAATCTCCATACCTACAAAACATAGTGAAGGAATACTTCTTAAGTAGATAGATAAACATAGCGAAGGGAGATGTTACGTAGTCATCGGCAGAAGTACCAGAGAGCTCAGTCCTAGGACCATTGTCTTGGATGATCCTATACAATGATATACTATCGGATATGCGCTCAGATAATTATTCGAATAAAATAAAGAAAAAAACAAACTTGGGAAGAGGTTACCCACAGTTTTATTTCAGAAGATGCCTTTTTGGGCCATCTGTAATTTCGTTAACTAACGTGTAAAACGTTCCTTTATGTTTTCATTAATTTACTATAGGATGTATCCAATACTTGCGTTTCTTCTTCTTCTTTGATTTAATATGAAGTAAACTTGCAATTAGGAGGTGCACTTAGAGACATCATCATACCAAAACTCGACTAAATTTGACAACAACGAATACAATGGCAAAACTACTGTCATTGTTACAACTGCCTCAGGTGTTTTAAGCCGCACTGCAGCCGACGAGGCGCAAACCGCCCTGTCTGTGTTTAACCTTAGGAGAAGGGATACAGGCTATCGCTTACGCGGATGACCTAGTCATTCTAGTAGAGCATAATGAAAACAGGCTTATAATGAACTCAGCCAATGCTAAACTAGAAAGGTTAAAAACGTAGTTGAAAGACCGAGAGTTGACCCCCGCTACGCAAAAACGGAAGCTTTAATACTAAAAGGATCTAGAGACAGAGATCAAATTTCCTTCACTCTCGAGGGAGAAAGAATAATGCCAAACAAAAAGGTTAAATATCTGAGAAGTAATGCTAGACAGTAAATAGATATTTGGCGAACATTCCAAATATGCTGAAAACAAGGCCGAACAGAGATCAACAGCATTGGCAATAATTATGCCAAATACAAAAGGCCCAGGTACCTGGAAAAGAAGGATTCTGACGGAAGTGATACATTCCACAAGTCTATATCCAGCACCAGTATGGCATCAAGTAACTAACAAACAAATTTTAGAGAGGCCCAAAGAAAAGCTATAGTAAGGGTCGTATGCGCCTATAGAACGATCTTGACATTCGCCCTACAAGTTATAGCTGGGGTAGTACCAATACCCAATATAAACCATAACAACATAACAGGAAGAGTGGACAGTGGGTAAACAAGCGGAGTTCTATATGAACAAGAACCCTGATCACGGCTGTGGAGGAGTGCGTGCAGTGCAAATATCTTCTTCTTTTTCTTTTTATATAGACATGACTCTGTTGTATTTCAATGTGCCTCAAGTAAGTTGTCGTTCCATCGTTTTCATGGTCTTCCTACTGATCGTCTTCCTATTGGGGAACCGTCTCTTACCGTCTTGACTACTCTATTTGTTGTCATTCGGCTTATATGATCGTTCCATTCTACTCTTCTATTTATTACCCAGTTCTTGATGTTCTTCACCTTGCAACTACGTCGTCGTATATCTGTACTTCTAGCTCTGTCCCATAGTGTCTTACCATAAATTTTTTATCAAAGTATTTTCATCTCTGCTATTTCTAACATCATTTTTGTCTACTCTGTGTCAGGTCTTGTCTGCCGCGTATGTCATTATTGGTCTGATGACTGTTTTGTAAATTCTGCCTCTCGTTTCTTTCCCGATATAAATATAAAAGCACGAACTAATTTACGCAATTCCTTAAGGGAATCGGGCCATTTAGAGGATACCTTGAGAGACTAACTAAGGCAATAGGTGCTAGTTGTGTGAACTGCGGAATAACCGACAAAGCAGAATACTGTGTGTACGAATGCAGTAAGTTCAATAAGGGGAGAGTGGAACTATATGCAAGAGAGTGCTTAGGAGCACACATTTTGATGACCGTAATAAAAAAGGGGGAAAATGGAAACAGATTAGAGGGGAGATAATAGGGGTAAACATAAGTAACATAAGCAACGAAGAGAATAAGAAAAGAGAAGAGAAAGGGTGCACGCGTAAGCCGAGAATGGTTTAGTTGTTAGGCAATGTACTATGGATGCATCCAATGGCAAGACCCCCAAAAGAGAAATTGCGTTCGGATGTACTCCGTCTACTCTGAATCCAACTCACGCCAGGTACGATTCATCTGATACGGTCTTTAGTAGATTTCCACTCTGACATATACAAAAAAGATATATTATTTTAAAGTTGGTTTAATAAAACAACAGTGCGTCAATAGACTTCGTGTTGGTTTTCGTGATTAAACACTAGACCCATCCGCTCTGCACAAATCAAATGGTTTGAAAATTTTAAGAATGGACGCAACACTTTCAGTGACGAATTCCAGAAGGGCCGTCCAGCCATTGACGTTGTCGCGGAAAATATCGTTTTATCGTTTCTGTACTTACTCTTCAGTTTTGGTAACCGGCTGAAATTGATTTTTTTTTGTACTTGGAACCAAATTTCATTTATTTTCTAACTTTTCATCTATTTTCTAAAAAAACATTTAAGTATATGGTTTTCCCGTAAAATTCAGTGGTTAAGATACCTATATTTTTCCAAATTTGATATTTTTCGGTATAATAAAATAGGCAAACTAAAACAAAACAGTTTTACACACTACACATGATTAGTTTCGAGCTAGTATCAGACAGTTTGCTAAACAATGTACATGGTATTCTCTTCAAATGGCTCTGTTTATAAAGAAATATCATATTTGGAGAAAATTAAACCTATATTTTAGGGAATTCGTCTTGTCGGTTAGATGAGACTTCTGAGATATTTAAAAAAAAAAGTACAGTAGGCGGTACAGTAGACTAGCGCATAGCTGAATACTATGTTTTCTGTATTTTTAAAATGTAAATAATATTTTTAAAATTGATTAAAATAATTTTAGTTATATTAAAATACTTCATTAAAATATTATGTTTGCTCCTAACGCGACCTGGTGACGTATTAACAAAGCATTAGTTGTTTACTTCTGACATACATTTCAAATTCAGATAAAATATTAAATTAATAATAAAATATAAATAAATATCATTTGATAGTATATTTAATTATTCTATAATAGATATTCAGATATAACAGATGATTCAATATCGTTATTAATTGGATGAAATTTATGACTTTTTGAGTGAAATTTTGAGAATCGTTACGAATCGAACATTTTATTGGCAGATATGCTTTTAATTTTGCTTTTATGCTTTTATTTTTACTTTAAATTTACTTCCCATTTATTGTCTGTATTTTCATGCAGTTAAAAAAAACTTCTTATAATAAATATATGATAACTAGACACGAATTGATCGAAAGTAGTGAATTGATCTGAAGAATAGCTATTTCGTCACGCCTTCCCATGGCACTAGTTCCGTGACGATCGCCTCAGCATTTCACTATAAAGAAGCGCTGAAGTAATACAGCGCTGGTATAGAAACTTTGCCTTAAAAATAATTTTTCCCAAAACAAAAAAGTTTGAAGAATATTATCCATTTTAGTGGTACAGGGTAGAATTCAAATAAGGCAATCACAAAGTGTCAAACATCGTTCACCAGACTTGAATTATTAGCGCTGTGCGATCAAAGCTAAAGTGGATTAATCTAGTGAAAGCAACCATTGATTCTGTGCAGGGCATGATTGAAGCAGATCGACTACCTATCATAAGATTCGTGTGTCACAAGCATGAGCGAAACACTAACAATTTTGCTTGATCATATATTTTTTTATGAGAATTGCACATTACTATCTAATACAAATTGTACATACCTTAATGTGACCAGACCAACTCTTGACTTGCAATTGACTGAGAATAGTTTGTATACACTCAATCCCTCTCGATCGCTAGAATGCAAACCTCTTTTGAAGCCGGCTTCGTGCCCACGCTTTGAAAATATTTGTAGAGCTTCAAAAGTTGAGTTGTCTATGAGGACTTGGTCTTTTCTATAAAAATTACGACGAATGTACGAAAAATAAAATCATTGCAATCAAAATCGATATGTTAGCAAAGTACGACATGTACTCATTAATCCTAATTAGGAATTTTTAATGGATATCAGTACAACTATTAATAAAGTTCCAGCGAAATACCAATTTTCAAATGCAAACAATCTTCATTGATAAGAACTGGGTGCTGTTAGAAATTTGCACGTAATTGGTTTAATTTTTTTTTGTAATGTAAAAGTAAATTTTTTTGTTAACCGAAAATATTACAAAACAACCACGCCAAGATCAATAGAAATAAAATGTAAGATAGAGAAAGTAAGATCTGCATTTCAAAAAATGGCTAAACTTGTAGCATTTTAAATTTCATTGATTCTTTTGAGTATATTGAAACCTCCTCGTATAAAAAAATATATTAAAAACTCCTTATATATTTTTAAAAAATGAAACGAAGAATTTTTCCGTGTTGTTAGTTCGTATCTTTCAAAGTACCCAAAAGTGTTTCGTCGCCGAGTAATAAAACCATT